AGTCTTCGGCATTTCCGATAACACGAAAAAAATATACATTTTAAAATGAAGAGTATTAAGGCCTACATGGTTTTATTTTTGACAAATAACTCGGTTACCCGATTAATATAAACTTAAAATATCTTCCAAATATTTGGAATTCAATGAATTAAATAAACAAATAATTTACAGTGCATTAGTTTAAATATATTATGATAAAAACTGGTATTACTTCAAATATAGTGTTTTGGTTCTTATAGTCGAAGAATGTCGAAAGATACGAAGAGACAAATAAAAAAAAGCTAACAATGTCCGAAGATACGAAGAGACAAATAAAAAAAGCTACCAAGGTCCGAAGATACGAAGAGACAAATAAAAAAAGCTAACAATGTCCGAAGATACGAAGAGACAAACAAAAAAAGCTACTAAGGTCGGAAGTTACGAAGAGACTAATAAAAAGCGTTAACAATGTCCGAAGATACAAAGAGACAAATAAAAAAAGCTAACAAGGTCCGAAGATACGAAGAGATTAATAAAAAGCGTTAACAATGTCCGAAGATACGAAGAGACAAATAAAAAAGCTACCAAGGTCGGAAGTTACGAAGGGACTAATAAAAAGCGTTAACAATGTCCGAAGATACAAAGAGACGAATAAAAAAAGCTAACAAGGTCCGAAGATACGAAGAGATTAATAAAAAAGCGTTAACAATGTCCGAAGATACAAAGAGACGAATAAAAAAAGCTAACAAGGTCCGAAGATACGAAGAAACTAATAAAAGAGCTAACAAGGTCTGAAGAAACAAAGAGACTAATAAAAAGTGTTAACAAGGTTCGAAGATACAAAGAGACTAATAAAAAGACTTAAAATGTCAGAAGATACAAAGAGACTAATAAAAAGAGGTAACAAGTTCCGAAGATACGAAGAAACTAATAAAAAATGTTAACAAGGTCCGAAGATACGAAGTGACTACTAAAAAGAATTAACAAATTCCGAAGATAGGAAGAGACTAATAAAAAAAGCTAACAAGTTTCGAAGATACAAAATGACTAATAAAAAGAGCTAACAAACCCGAAGATACGAAGAGACAAATAAAATGAGTTAACAAGGTCCGAAGATACGTGACTAATAAAAAGAGCTAACAACATCCGAAGATACGAAGTGACTAATAAAAAAAGCTAACAAGGTCCGAAGATACGAAGGGAGTAATAAAATGAGCTAACAAGGTCCGAAGATGAGATGAAACTAATAAAAAGTGCTAACAAAATCGGAATATACGAAGAAACTAATAAAAAGAGGTAACAAGTTCCGAAAATACAAAGAGACTAATAAAAAGTGCTAACAAGGTTCGAAGATACGAAGTGACTAATAAAAAGTACTGACAAGATCCGAAGATACGAAGCGACTAAAAAAAGAATTACCAAGTTACGAATATACGAACAGACTAGTAAATAGAGATAATAATGTCCGAAGCTACGAGGAGACTAATAAAACCAGTTAAAAAACTCCGGAGATAGGAAAAGAGAATTAAAAAGAATGAACAAATTCCGAAGATAGGAAGAGACTAATAAAAAGAGATAACAAGGTCCGAAGATACAAAGAGACTAATAAAAAGAGCTAACAACATCCGGGGATACGAAGAGACTAATAAATTGTTAACCCGGTCCGAAGATACAAAGAGAGTAATAAATAGATTTAACAAGGTTCGAAGATACGAAGAGTGTTATAAAAAGAGCTAACAAGGTTCGAAGTTACAAAGATACTAATAAAAAGAGCTAACAAGGTCCGAAAATACGAAGAGACTAATAAAAATGCTAATAAGATCCGAAGATACGAAGAGGCTAATAAAAATAGCTAACAGGTACGAAGATAATAAGATACTAATAAAAAGAGCTAACAAGGTTCGAAGATACGATTTGACTAATAAAAAATGTTAACATGGTCCGCAAACTACAAAATATGTGGCGCAAGACCAATAATGAATTTAAGTAAGACTGGTTATCATATCTCTTATCTTTAACATTGCTAGAGACAATTTCTTACCGTAGCAAACTATACAATATTCCTTGCATCAAAATACCACATTCATACTTGCCATTCTTACAACAATCACCATAATACCTCAGGGTCTCTATGAAATCCTAACTAGTCCTCATATGTACAATTTGTTTGTGGTGGGTGGAGAATAGAATAATAACAACATTTAAAAATCAAAACACTAGGTTTATCTAAGTTTACACGAAGATGGACGAGCCGATGATCTGAGTAAAGTATAGAATAGAAACCTGGACAACGTAAGTGACATAAATCGACTCTCTTAACTGGAACTCAGTCGGGGTAGCAGCGAATTCAAGCTACCCGTATTCGTCCACACTATATCCCGAGGTTGTTCATTACGATACTTATCAAGAAGATCGAACTGAAATGACTTCCCACCCAGTTTGTTAGTACCCGATCTCTTCCCTATACGATTTATATCGTGGTCAAGGACAGCATTCCAATTGCCCGTTGATCTGTCGCTAGATATTACCATAAAATATTCCGAAAACAAGAGCACACAGTGTATTCAAAGACTTACCCACTAGACAGGAAACACCTCTTGAGCCACCATCAAAACATTCTGAATAGAGGACAAACCTCGTAGACAGAATGCATTCGTAGACGCGAGTTGAAGCAAGGTTTCCTGTACACAACATACACCCAGAAAACTACAAGAAGACAGAATGCATGGTCATCATTAAGAGGAAGAGCCCGAATTGCTATTTGCAGATCGGGGACACTAGAATGAAGCAGATGCAGAAGTTTATATATCTAGGACAGAGGACGGTAAGTACGACACTGAGATCCGTAGACGTATTGGGATGGTGAAGGACACATTTCAAAAGCTGAGCATAGTATTGCAAAGAAAAGAATACTGAACTGTTACATGACATCTGTCCTTTTTTACGGCAGCGTATGTTGGACGGTTTCCTCAAAGTTAAAGAAGAGACTCGAGTCGACGGAGAATTGGTTCTCATAGAAGGATGCTAAGGATGGCATGGATCGAGCGTGTGAGCAAGAATGAGGTCTTGGAGAGGATAGAAACAAGTAGAAAGCTTATACTTAACACAAGAAAGAGGTAGCTGAAGTTTCTGGGACACGTAATGAGGTAGGAGGGCCTGGAGAATCTGATCCTCACAGGTCAAATAGAGGAAAAGAGAGAAAAGAGAAAACAACGCGCGACATACCCACCGGGCTTAAACAAGTGGATGACAGAGAGTGGTTTGGGAGCGGAAGCAGAGGGGAGGAATTGTTATGAGCTGCAAGGGATAGATGGAGGTGGGAGCCATGATCGCCTACGTCATGAAAGGACATGGCACATAAAAAGAAAGAAAGAGACGCTGAAAATTGCCTGTAAGCCTTTCCCTGTGAAACCTCAGGCTCTGGGTATTTGAACTAGCTAACCAGAGAGCCATTATGTGTCCTATTACTTTTGGAGATCTGCATTGAACATGGCCGGGGTAAGGACACCGACTGCCTGCCCAATTGGCCAATGGCCTATTTCACACTGAACAGTATTAATGAAGTTTTTTTTTTTACAATATCTTCGTCAAATCATGCCAATGGCGGAAAAGGCATTATTTGCCACTTGCAGCATTGTCCACACATTCTGTAGTTCTTGTTCACTTCTGTTAATATCCTTTTCGCTTTAGGAAAGTTTCTAGGACCCATCACATCTCTCGCATTATTTTACATGTAAGAAGTTTTTTTAAATGTTTAATCTTCCTACATTGTGTTGTCGCCTTTTCGGCTTGGTCTGGTGTCTTCCTCAGTATTATGCATTGGTTTGGATTTTGTCAATTTTTGCACTTATTTGACACGGCTGATGTACTGCGTTGTCATTTCCCTTGGGTGAGTTCTTGGTTGTATCTGAAGGAGATAAATCGGACGTGGATACATGTGTACTCATTTTTGTCGGGGATTTTGTAGTGGGAACTCTTTTGGGGGTGATCATATTAGACGGGGTGGAGAATAAAGATGATGGGTGGAACCATTGTCTACTTTTTGAATGATGGGGAAGACGGTGCCGAGGAAAAAAGGGCCAATATTTTTTTCTAATGTTTCTTGTGATATTTTTGCTTTTATGTTTGCCTTCAGTTACGCGAGCTTTTCAAATTTCTCAAAACTCTGCTTGTATTTGAGCCTCCTTTGTCGAATCTTTTCGCACGTAGCTAGCCACGACATCGACCTTTAAATAATAGAGGAAGTGGGTTTCTTTTTGCTTTTATCCGTGGGAGTTTACGAGGACAGAGGTCCTGCTACTCGGAGATTTCCTTTGGTCTTACCAACGACCTGCCATTTCCCCTTTTCCTTCTCTGCAACTGCACAAGCGTTGGACAAAGTCGGTTAATGGGGGCTGCGAAATGAGACACAACCGCAGGTTTTACCACATCGGTCCTGGTCGCTGGCGTGCCTATTACAGGCGAGACGGAATCAACAGTCTCGGTTGAAGGGAGATTCTGAGTCGGTTCCAGAAAGTATGCGGTAAGAAGCATATTTTATGATGATATGTGGGGAAGACAACATTTAACACTAGACTTGAACAGATTAAGATCGTAATGATGCGGACAGGATCTTCTTGGGAGTCGGTTCCAGAAAGTATGCGTCAGAGGTACATTTTGTGATGATATGTGGAGAAGATAACGCTTAACACTTGACTTTAACAGCAAAGATTTTAATCATCGGGGAAGAATCCTACGTAATGATGACAGTTTGATTGAAGATTTGAAATCAGATTGAAATGAATTTTAACCGTCCAAGTCTGAAAAAACAGGTTTTGTTTTTTGTTTTTTTGTTTTCTGTTTTTTTGTTTGTTTGTTGTTTTTTTTGTTTTTGTTTTTTTTGTTTTTTTTGTTTTCTTGGTAATTTTAATAAAACAAAAAGAAATTTACAATTAACTGACATATTGCTTTTATTTTCTTTATTTTGTATTTGTTTCGTTTTCTTTCTTCACAGTAAAACCCAGTACGAACCCTCCGGTGCCTCAGACAACGACGCCTCCCATCCGTCCACCGTGTGCGATTGTCCAGTCTGAATGGTCAGCCTGTTCGGCCAGCTGCGGTGTAGGAATGTCAGTAAGAATGACAAACGACAATCTGGAGTGCGAAGACGTACAGCAAACACGAATCTGCTTTATTCGACCGTGCGGAGAATTAGTCAAATCAGAGGTAAGATGGCGAGGTGTCCCTTCAAGGCGTTGAAGAGCATGTCCCCCCCCCACATCTTCCTGACCCTTGTAACTCAGTAAATTTTACATTTTTGTTAACTCTTCTAATACCCGTTCCGCCAACAATTTCCTCAAGTTCGTTCTTTTCTCTTATATATGCCGTGTCCCCTCAGGACGTTAGCAATCATGACCCTCCACATCTTCCTGGTCTTCGTAACTTTTACATTTTTGTTATTTCTTCTAATCACTATTCTGTCAACAATTACACAAGGAAGTTCTTTTTTTTTTCTATGTTGCTCATATGTCCCTACAGGACGTTGGCGATCATAGCCCAAATCAATCTCCTGCTCTTTGTAGCTCTTAGTAAATTTTATATTTTTTTACAACTGTTCTGCCAATAATTTGCACAAGCTCATGATGTAGTTTATGAGTCGCTTTCCTGTGTACCTCTTGCCTTCAATCTGCCCTTGTGTTTATCAAATTTTCCAAGCCCACTTTCCTCGTTATATGCCCTAGAAATTCCATCTGTCTTTTGTAATGCTAGACATAATTGTCCCTTTTACTTCAATTTTCGCATAAACTTCTATGTTTCTCACATGTTCAGTCCATGTTATTCTCAGCATCCTTCTGTAGAACCACATTTCTGTTGCCTCAAGTCTCTTCTCCATCTGTTTTGATATTGTCCAGCATTCACTCTCATATAGGGGTACTGATATTACATAAAAGTAGAGCATTCATTTCTTTGTTACTCTCAATCCCTGTCTGTTCTTATTAAATACACTGTTTATGAAAAAAAAAAAACCCAAAACAATGATACCATACTAAATGTGTACACACTAAACATATCGTTTATAGTAATAAGAAAAAAGGTCAGATAAAAAATACGTTTACACACACACACACACACATATATATATATATATATATATATATATATATATATATATATGTGTGTGTGTGTGTGTGTGTGTGTGTGTGTGTGTGTGTGTGTGAAGAAAAATATACAAAAAAACAAACAAAAATCTTAATATGCAATTATGCTAGATTTTTGTTTGTTTTTTCTGTATATTTTTCTTCATACTGTCGGATCTATATCCATATATCTGCTTATATATATATATATATATATATATATATATATATATATATATATATATATTTATAAATATAAATGAGGATAGGAAAACTGTAGTTATTGCTGACGCGTTTCGTCCAAGTAAACTTTCTCAAAGCAAAAAACGAAATTTTGTTTTGAGAAAGTCTACACTGGACGAAACGCGTCAGCAATAACTACAGTTTTCCTATTGTCATTTATATTTATAAATATTGTCTTTTCTACAGGTTGACTCTGAGAAATTTTCATATATATATATATATATATATATATATATATATATATATATCGTGGACTCTCCCGTTATTGATTGACCCGCGCCTAACGGGTACCCTTTTTACTACATATGAGGGTCAGGAACCTCAGTTCATAGAAACTGACAGCCAGACAACCTGCACATTATAGTGGTGATGGTTTTGGTAAAAACCAACCGCATTTTTTGAAAAGCCGAATACAGAGGTCACCAAACGACGCTCCATAGATTTTGAATGCGGAGTTGTCTTTCTCCTAGACCAGTTGACATCCAGTGCTATAGAACCCAGCCTGTCTTGCGATTTATCCATAGCTGGGGTTAGAAGAAGAGGATTCATAACTTTACCAAGTGAATGTTATAGATACGTCTGGAATTCGAACTCGGCTATCAGGTTCCTCAATGCGAACCGCTATTACTCGATTGTACCTCGATATATCTATCTATATATATATATATATATATATATATATATATATATTGCTCTCTATTCTCTTATTGCTTTTATATATATGACCGCTATAAAAAGACAAAACTTATATTTATTATCACAATCTCCTCAAGAATGAAGAAGAGACTTGAAATAAGAGAAATGTAATTCTACAGAAGGACGCTGTGGATAAGATGGGTGGAATAATAAAGAAATTTATACTTAACATGAAGAATTTTTAAATTCATTGAGTTCAGAAATGTGATGATACAAAAAAAAACAATAAAATACAAAATAACGGTAGAGAAACATTTACTAAAGTGTATTTACTCCCAAAATAAACTAATATATATATATATATATATATATATATATATATATACATGCATGTTTCATTAAAAACGATAGACAAGGTACTACGGTTGACCTTTTTATTTAATTTCTCTTGTGTTCGAACAAGAGCTTTCTTTCTGGATAAAGAGTGTGTAAAAACTGTCCAAAGTTTTACACACTCTATATATATATATATATATATATATATATATATATATATATATATATATATATATATATATATATATATTATAATGGATTTAAATCTGATATTTCTATTGCCATAAATTTTATATTATTTGATAAAACAGTTTGAGTAGGCATCGCTATTTTTTCGTTTCACTTATTAAAAAAGGGGAATGACATAGATTAAGCATGTAATTAATGGGGAAGCTTTATGGGAAATGGAAACAAAGGACACAACTTGTCAGAATCAGTAAGAGGCAGCTTAAATTATTTGGTAATACAATGAATATTCTTTTCTTGAATTTTGTTCCCAGTTCTCTTATCGCCTTTGTAATGCGTGGAGTTTAGCGGAAATTAAAATCAGCATTCCCGCTTATTTCTGTGGCACAAAATAAATTATATGAAAACGAGCAGCAAGTTCTTTCTTTCTCTTTTTTCTCACTCAAGAAATTAGTCACGAGTCTTGGCACTTTTATCTTCTGTTCGTCGTTTTAGGCAGACTCAAAATTTTAACGTCTCCCAAAATTAAATTGTCCCAACCAGGAGACATTTCATCGTCCTAAAAATACAAATGTATATTTCAGGAACAGACATTACTTCTTTATTATATGTTTCTTATAAATTATTTTCATTGTATGTCACACAAAATGATTACATCCAGTTTTACATGATTCGCCTTTCTCTCTCTTTCTTTCCAAATCTACTTTTTTCGATTTCTTTCTTTTTATGTGCCGTGTCCCTTCAGGTCGTAGGCGATCATGGTTCTCCACTTCCCCATATCCCCTGTAGCTCTCAATATATTTCATGCCTCTGTCAACTCCAATAGAACACGTTCTGTCATCAAGTTGCTTAAGACCGCCAGGTATGTCATGGGTTGCTTTCCTTTGTCTCTCTTTCCTTCTATTCGACCTGTGAGCGTCAGATTCTCTAAGCCTTCCTTTCTAATTACGTGTCCCAGAAATTTCATCTACGTCTTTCTTATGTTAAGTATAAGATTCCATCTTGTTTGCAACCTCTCCAAGACCTCATCGTTGCTCATATGTTCGGCAATCCTTCTGTAGAACCATACCTCTGTTGCCTCGAGTCTCTTCTTTATCTTTGAGGAGACCGTCCAACATTTGCCGCCGTATAGGGTGACAGATGTCACGTAGCAGCTCAGTACTCTTTTCTTGGTCATCAAAGAAACTCTCCTGTCTCGCAGTATGATGTCCAGCTTTTCGAATTCATCCTTGGCCATTCCAATCCGTCTTCTGTTCTCAGCGTCGCACCTATTAATTTGCAGCAATAATTTAGGTGCCACAATTTCTAAGTCTTCTATAATGATTTCATGGAATTGTATAAAGACATTGCGGACACAGTGCATTTTACTTATTATATAGGTACATTTAGAACTATTTCCTACTTACAAACTGAGTTTCTTTACAACAGCCTCTTTCTGATGCTTGGTATCAGCTTTCTCCTTGTTTGCATCCTCTTTAAGACCTCATCGTTCGCTGCATGATATCCTTAGCATCCTTCTGTAGAACCAAACCTCTGTTGCCTCGAGTATTTTGCTTTATCTTTGAGAAGACCGTCCAATATTCGCTGCAGTAAAGAGTGGCTACTGGGATTAAATCGTTATCCCCACCGTGTCTGAAAATCTCTTTCTTTAAATGGTGTTTTAATTTTAAAAACTAAGAAAAAACGATAATAAACGGCTTTTTTTCTATTGGATTGCTATCTGGAGATGCTTGGATCCATTACATTAATTCGTTGTCTTTGAAAAAAATTTGGTAAGTTTATAAACTGTAACCTTTTTGATATGTCCCGGAGATGGATATGTTTGTTCGAAGTAGAAAAGTGGTTTTGGACTACTGTAACCGAGTAGGACAATCTAGCAGGTAACCATAATGGACTGGACCTCGTCGTAGTGGTAGGCAATAGGCGTAGGGAAGAGGCGAAGACTATAGGCGTAGCCCATGTATCTCCACATCAGTCTGTATTTATGACTGACACCAGTCAATCATATTACTGTGAGGAGGGAACCAAAGTGTATGCATATTCATGACATCAGTTTTTAAAACGAGAATCAGCATTTTCTTACATGAATATAGTCTTTCCCGTAAAGCTTCTTGATTGCAAACTGCGACTGCAAGAATCTTCTACGGGTAGTTATCGTAATTCAATCCACTTATCCTGCCACCGCCATTACCTCGGAAGATATCTGCAAAGTGAAATCCAACAATTCTAGCTGAACACGTTAATGTCATTGGTCGACTATAACAGCTTTTCTTCAGAGATGAGCTTCTCTGATAAGTGACAATTTCTGCTTATTTTTTTTTCGAACTTCCTCTCACTTGTCGCATGATCCGACCATGTATATCTCCACATTTACCAGGTGAAAACAGATGTCAAGAACTTCAAAGCCTTTGTGACAATATTTTATAAACAAATTTAAAATTTTAATATATAACCCCCAAAAAGTTTTACAAATTTTTGACAAGTGGAAAACGTTCAAGATAGATAGATAGATAGATAGATAGATAGATAGATAGATAGATAGATAGAGGATAGAGAAAAAATATAGATGAATACGTCAAAAAAGACAGATTGTGACAAACAGGAGGGAATAAAAACAAAGAGAAATGAAGAGAAAGAAACGAGGCAAATTGAGAAAGGGAGGTAATGATAGACAGATGAACAGAACGAAAAAGATAGATAGATAGATAGATAGATAGATAGATAGATAGATAGATAGATAGATAGATGCTGCGCACATATAACACATACATCAATCCATACATACATAGAAAAAGATAGATAGATACATACATACATGCATAATTACATACATACATACATACATAGAAATAGATAGATAGATAGATAGATAGATAGATAGAGAAATAGATAGATGGATAGATAAAGACTGATAGATAGCTAGATAAATAGAGAAAGAAAGAAATATAGATAGATAGATAGAGAGAGAGAGAGAGAGAGATCCAAATGTAGCAATTGCAGCCATTGACTCATAAGGACAAGCCAATTATTTTATTTCTAAACTTTTGTACTTCCCAGTGGTTAAATCACAAACCCATACGGATCTCGTGAAAAGAACTGAGGGAATCCAAACTATGCTCAGAAAATACAAAAGAAACAGAAGCAAAATATTTCAAGGCCCACAAGAAACATAACATTTTTTTCGACAATTCTGCATTTTATGATGGCATCTAATATCTCAGATGAGTGAATAAGTTGATTAATGGTGAATTGAAAATTGTGGCATTGGCAGGAAAAAGGCCAATATAAGTAATAATAATTCATAGAGATTACATATATATATATATATATATATATATATATATATATATATATATATATATATATATATATGAGTAATCTATACATATATAGATAAAAATAGGACCATGGTTTCTGTTCAATAAAGTTTAAGATAAAAAAAAAACGTAAACAAAGAAGCTGTAAAAATGAATAAAAAAAAGGAATGTTGGTATGATGTTAATTTTATTAGAGCAAAAAAGAAGATGGTATACACGGTAAGAAAGATATTTTGTGGTATTTCTTTTGGCTTTATGTCCTTAGAGATCGAGAAAAAGCTGAGCGGTTGCATCGTTTGAGATTCGAACGTAGATCAATGCTAGCATTTGGAAAGCTGTTTTTTTAGGCAACTGGACAGTATGTCCTGTTGAGAAAATTATCGTAAAAATAGTCTTAGTTATCCAGTCTAACGAGAATGTTTAAAGAGATTAAGACTTAAAAGGTTTGTTTAGTTTGTTTAAGAGTATAACAACCTTAATGCCGAAAATTGATTCACTTCAAATGCTTAATTACGCTATTAACGATATATATTTGGGGTGCTCATTGCTCATCATCTTCTCTTTATGGTAATCTGTCGATGTTCAGATGTAATTGCATCGTGTCGGCTTTTATAAGCAATCCGACTTGCTTTTTTCTAGTGAAATAGTTAAAAATTATACATAGATTTTATTTGCAAGTGAATCAAAATGTTTGAAAAAAATGTTAGACATCGATTTGATTTGCATGTGAGACAAAAAGGTGGAGGTATCGATTTAATTTTTATGTGAGTACAAAATACAGGCATCAATTTGATTTGTGTAGGAATCAAAAAAGTAGATCGATTTGATTTGCAAGGCAAAAAGGTAAACATAGATTTGATTTGCATGTGAGTCAAACAGACATCCGAAGTTTTGGGATTGGCTTAGTCTTCTGCAAGGGGATATAGTCGACGTAATCTTGCCACCAATAGACAGGTAGATAAGATGATTGGTTAATATTTGGAATATAGATTGAAATTTGGTGTTACCTAGAATTAATAATTCACTTTAACCATTCGCCAAATTTCATCATTATCATGTTTTATTTTCGAACTTTCTCTCACCTGTCACAGGATCCGACCGCGTATATTTCCACATTTGCCAGGTGAAAACAGATGTCAAGAACTTCAAAACCTTTGTCAGGATATTTTATAAACAAATTTAAATCCATCAATCGCAATGAAGATATATAAATAGAAAAATATGTCTTATCCCGGGTGAAGCAATTTGGAACTAGATTTTATTTATGGCCAGGACTTGTTTGTAGTTTAATATCAGTTCCTACTATGTGGTGGCCAGGACTTGTTGTTTGTGGTTTCATAAAATGTTCCTACTTTTGGGTGATAAATAAACTCTAACTTCAGACCGCTTCCCCCGGGATAAGATACCTTACGTGCCCAACAAACACAAACCCACTCTCATTAACAAGGCGTCTACGCGAGGAGGACTGACACTGAAAATAAATTTAAAACAATATTTCGAGACAGGCACTGGGAGACTGATGATATGCGTATACTGAACGGCTTGAAATAGACTATATCTATGTTGAGGTAATATATATATATATATATATATATATATATATATATATATATATATATATATATAGTTCATAGGCTGCTTCAATCCTTTGTTTCCGGTTTAGGATGGGAGGGAACGAGAAGTCTCACATTCTGCAAAGCGAATTTCCTTGGTGTGTCAGGTCTTGTTGAAAGATCTCAACCGCCATTAAAAAAGAAATGGATTATTCAGAAATTCCTATCTTACGTGCAGATGTACAATGAAGAAAAAACTAAGAATTCAAACCAGTTTGAATTTATAAAATAGGAAGTCTCGCGCGAACGAGAATTGAGTCTCGTAAGCAAATATTAGCTTCCGGCCAACACAGGCATAAATAGCGAATCTGTGAGAGGAATGAAAAAAGAAAACTTTGGTTGGCGTCACATCGTACAGTCAAACGAGAACGAGGGTGAAGAAGGAAGAGGTCTGTTGTTTAAAAGCAAAACACCTTAAACAATTTCAGTTATCGCAAACGACTGACTAAATTAACCACACGGCTGCTTCTTATTCGCTCTTATTCCAAGTAACCACTTTCGTCTTAGTGGCATAATCGCCTTGCTTAGGTGGAGATGATTAAAAAAAAATGTAATTAGCATTCGAAGCTGTTTCTTTCACTGACAACTATTCTATTTTCTTGCAACTGATTCTTAGTCCTTTCTTCTTGCTTTCTTTCGCTAACTTCACTGTTTCTGTGTCTATAATGGGGCGAAATCTTCCACACAGAAGTAATTTATTTTAGCCACTGGCCAACAGAAGCAGAAATACGCATTGAACAAATGAAACTTGCTGGAAATAAAAGGTCGAGTGAGATATCCAGATGTGCGCATGCATCTTATCTTCCTTGTCGAAATGTCAGAGAGCTGGTCCGTATAACTTCCGGTCTTGTTTTCATTTTGAGCGGTAGGTGTGGCCGTTTTAAATAAGCGCCTGTCAACAGTGGTTGATCCGTAAATATTAGCGATGTTAGAAGGTTAAATGACGAAAGGTTCTTTGTGTCTGTAGGTATGTGCGTGCGCGCATGCGCGTGTAGTGAATCACCATTCTTTTCTCTCTTTAAAACATATCTTCAGTAGCTATGCAGAAATAAAACCTTGACTAAACTAGAAGAAAGAGGGAAAGAACTAGGTAAGAAACCTGGAACGAAGGGACACACACACACACACATAGATAGATAGATAGATAGATAGATAGATAGATAGATAGATAAGTGTGGATATATACATCACAGAGTTGGGCTACCGGTGAGGCAAAAATTAGTATATAACTTATAGCTCTGTTATTCTACATCGAGCACTATTTTATTAACACCAGCATCGAATGTGCGATACATATATATATATATATATATATATATATATATATATGGTTGGATTGATGTGAGTTTGTGACCCTGGGTTTCATGCTTTTGCGATCGCCAGACAAAATGATTAATTTATTTAAAAATTTAGATTTATATAGATTGTGTGTATTGGTGTTATTATAGAAACGGGGGGGGGTCGTTGTCGTGATGTCACTCATGCTAACGCAAACATAGATGCATATCCGAACACCCGATGAGGTACGCAGACACACATACACACTCGCTCGTCCGCCGGGGCTCATACAGATATAAACATATGTGGACAATATGGGATTTGACATATGTATGTATATGTGTGCTGTTGTCTCTATACATACGCATTTGTGTGTTGAAATTCAAAGATCGGAAGTGTAACGAAAATTTCTCGTGAATGTCTATATGCTAGCAATCAGAGCATTTTTCTATTTTTTCCTCGCATGCACGTATATACATATGGTGGGGAACTGTGATAGCTAAAAATTGCTATTATTTTTAATTTTTTAAGGTTGGTTTGTTATTATTTTAAAGCTGGTTATTTGCTTGTTTTTGATGACTGCGTATATATAACTGGTAAAAATTGAAGACGTAATCCTTATTGTTTTGTTTTTTATGCTGGTATTAAATCTCTATCTCTAATATTGAGCGTTTTCTAATAAGTACCGCGCATATAATATGTAAATAATAATAATAATATACACACACATATATATATATATATATTCATATTTATATTTATATACACACACTTTTCATATATATATATAGTATTTTTCTACATATTCTTTAACATTCATTAACCGTCCCCATTGCGTCTTAGAGGCTTTAGCCCCTTACTTGCGGGCGAAATTATTCTAAAAAATATTATATATAGAAACGTTTTACACATGTGGCAAAAAAGTAGACACTGGTCCGCTTTGCAGGATAGTCAAAAAGGATACATATAAGTCCCGGTTTATATTAGCGTCAAAAAGTTATGTCCAATTTTAATTAGAGCAAAAAAAGTCTGGTTTACACAAGAGTAAAAAACGCAGACATCTGTTTCCTTAATCAATTTACCACAAGGAAGGCGACAACACCCCTAAGACACAACAGGCTACCGGAAGTGGAAGAGGGGTTAGTGTCAATCGTTATCGTTGAGGGCACATGGCACAGTGGATAACTGACAACTGACATCCATTAAACATGGCACGTGGAACTAGAACAGTCTGCCCCAGTGAGCAAAATAAAGGGATCAGTTCGACATTCCAAACACCTGAAGAAGGCCGGAGCGTACAACGGCCGAAATGTTGTAATAAATATGGTGACAAAGATGAGGACAATAGCCCGAATAATGTAAATAGTGTACATAATACCTCATCTCAGAAATATAGACAGATACTGAAGGGCCGAAACGTTGTAATAAATATGGCGACAAAGATGAGGACAATGGTCTGAATAATGTAAATAGTGTATATAATACCTCATCTCAGAAATATAGACAGATACTGAAAGGCCGAAACGTTGTAATAAATATGGCGACAAAGATGAGGACAATAGTCTGAATAATGTAAATAGTGTACATAATACCTCATCTCGGAAATATAGGCAGATACTGAAAGGCCGAAATGTTGTAATAAACATGGCGACAAAAATGAGGACTATAGTCTGAATAATGTAAATAGTGTACATAATACCTCATCTCAGAAATATAGACAGATACTGAAAGGCCGAAACGTTGTAATAAATATGGCGACAAAGATGAGGACAATAGTCCGAATAATGTAAATAATGCACATAATACCTCATCTCAGAAATATAGACATATACTGAAAGGCTGAAACGTTGTAATAAATATGGCGACAAAGATGAGGACAATAGTTCGAATAATGTAAATAGTGTACATAATACCTCATCTCAGAAATATAGACAGATACTGAAAGGCCGAAACGTTGTAATAAATATGTCGACAAAGATGAGGACAATAGTCCGAATAATGTAAATAATGCACATAATACCTCATCTCAGAAATATAGACATATACTGAAAGGCTGAAACGTTGTAATAAATATGGCGACAAAGATGAGGACAATAGTTCGAATAATGTAAATAGTGTACATAATACCTCATCTCAGAAAAGACAGATATTGAAAACAAAACTATTTACAAGAAACCAATTAATGTTAGTAATACCGCCCCTCCTCGCGCACACACATACACAATCCTTACATGTGACAGGAACATTCGCCGGGGAAAGCAGATCAGAACAACTACGGTGAAAATATTTATAGAAGAGGTGAAGGGATGTTACATTGCGGTACTGGGAAAGTGATTGAAGCCAAGATGGCAGATCAGGACAGATAACTTTGCCGTGCGTGCGTGTTTATGTCTGTGTTGAACTCCTTGACATTGCGTTCACCTGTTGTCCCCTGATTGTTATCCCAAATGTGAGACACAAGTTGAGAGTTCTTTCAATGTTGAAATGCTCTATCCAGGAGCCGATTAACGATAAAGTCATTTGATTACGAGTCTTTTGTGAAACGCTACTGGATTTAATTAACCCTAATCAGTTGGATCTTTCAACACTTTATTATTTAGCGATGAATTTTAAATTGCCTTCTGCACTAGTTGGACCTTTCGCGTACTCTAAAGAAACTGATTGTATCGTCACAGAAACCTCAAAATAGAAAAGTTTACACACATACACATATACCGTCCCGCGCACAAACGCAAACACACACACACTTATATACACACTTATGCAAATTAATTGAAACAGCCGCTTTAGTTTACTGTCTTTCACTATACGCTCAGTTTTAGACCCACTACATTGACAGGGTGTAATCGACTTATTTTTCCTCAGATTAGGTCATTTGCAATGGTGTGCAGTAATATGAATCTATTTTCGGGATGCATGAAGAAATATATTTGGCCTTGAAAAATACTGCGTCATCTGTGATTGCATTAAATTTTAATTACGTCCTGACACTATTGCCTCTACTGTCAATTAGTTGTCCTATGTGCATTGTCTGCGATGGACGTTACTTGAAGGAAACTTACGAAAATTTGTAACGCTGCGCGAACACATTTACCAGTGAGCAAATTAAAGTACTATAGACTGGCCCAGAAACTCTCCTGAGTGTGTGTGTGTGTGTGTGTGCGTAATAAAAAGGCTTAAACACTAATATTCCATGGTCATAATTTATTCCATTCATCAAACCTACAAATTCAAAAAGAAAAAATAACTCCGGGGATAAAAAATAAAATTTAGTGACAGTGTATGAATGAGAGTGGGGGAAGAATGCGAGAGATAAATGAAAAATTCTAGAGCGGGGGGTAACAGACGAGAGAAGAACAGGAAGGCCTAAAAGTGAAGGTGGGGATTAAAATTTAACAGAGAGAAGTCTTAAAGAGAGGTTAAAAGACAGTTTAAATGAGTGAGATACACACAAATATAAATTATTTTCCGATGTATAATTCATTACTGAATCGCTGACCTAAATTAAAACCGACACCGGAAATGGATGAATACATTTGTGGTGATACTACGCAAAATTAAAAGACGATATAATCTAAACTTAAAATTCAGAAGATGAGAGAGAGAAGGGGGTGGGGAAGATGGGGGGAACTAAAACAGAAAGGCATTTAAAATAAATATATATAGTACACAAATATATATATATATATATATATATATATATATAGAGAGAGAGAGAGAGAGAGTACGCAATATGATCCAAAAGTATTTCATATGGTGAATACTCTTATTTCAACCGACGAATGCTTCGTCAGTCTTATTCAACTTGGTATATAGACTCTATATGCATAAACAGTATTAACAATATTTACCGGCCTGAACGTCCGAGAAATTTTCATAGAAAATATGTGTCCTCCAACAGGAATCGAACCTATATCCTCCACGGAACCGTCATATAGCTTGTCGTTAATACTGTTTAATATAATCAGAGCATTTACTTAAATATTTATGTTTATATAGATGACGTATAGCAATAAAATATAATAATTGTCGGACTTTGTCCATCTCGTAGTGCATGGCATCATTTGTTTACGTTTAGATAAGCTTCGAGCAGATATTGACGTTAGAGGGAAATCATAGGAAGTTTGTAGTTTAAAAGCAGTAAAATCGACTTTGTTAACCAGTCACTCCTTCGTAGCTAAACAGGTAGTGCACGTCAGGCTATATGATTGTGTCCAGCTACTTGCTTAAGAACATGTCATTCTATGCGCGCACTAAACAGCTCTTATCTAATTATGATGGTCACTGCAAGACCTCTAAAGATTTTCTACTAGATTTGGTTCCTGGAAAGTAGCAGAGATCGGTTGTTGGTTCTTAGGATTTAAATGAAGTTTTTTGACTTATTCTCCTTAATTTCAAAGTTACCTGAAGGTTATCCTGATTGACAGACACCTGCAGAAGGGCAGAGAACACAAAGTCTGAAACGGTGTGATAATAACAGAAAATATGTATATATTATTACGGCTGTAAATGAGGAGCAGTCCTCATCTCGGAAATTCAGACAGAAACGGTGGGTGTATTTCTTTATCTTGCAAATTGGTCACTACTCGCTTGCATGATTGACAGCGTCGAATATTCGACATTCGATAGTCTAGCTTCTTTCGGGTGTGTGTTTTTTTTATTAAATATTTAAACGATATTGACCGCGAGTTCAAGCAAAGAGAAAAGATATAAAAAAAACATAGAATTTAAACAAACTATCATTATTGAATATATTAAACGGACGTATTACAAAAAAGAAACATGAGAAATGAAGTTAAATTTGCGTAGAGTATCTAAGGCAAACATGCCAACAGAACGAGAAAAGAACGTCTTGTCGCTGCTAAATTCAAGAAGAAAAGAAGAGGCTTTCACATCTCAGGTGATTATCGTCAAGGGGTGGTAAAAAATATGTCACCGCCAGTTATTATCGTCAGTGAGTGGGCGGTAAACCAACAAGCTTTATCCGTTTTCTTTAACACTGGGACTTATTGGAACATGGCAACTACTTACGCCACAAGGCGTTTTGAGGCTTTATCCATATATCTGGGTGAAAGAATCATTGTGCTGGAAGGAAAGGTAACAGAAAGCGATACACCTGAAAGGTAAAATAAAACGAAAGAAGAAAAAGTAAGTTAGAGAGAGGAAATCATTCAAACAAAATGGCAGAAAAAAATAAGAGAGACAATCATTCGTAATTAGACATGGGGAGAGGAAAAAAATAAACTAAACTAAGAGAAATATATGTGAAAATCGCCCGGATACAAATATATAATCTTTTTTTTTTCGCTTTTTTTTTTCTTTTTTTTTAAAATAGAAAAAATGTGAATCTCTCAAGATAGAAAGAATAACCGATAAATCAAATCCGAATAACAAATTTGCCCTTCACTCTGAAAGGTTTTCAGCTTTAATTAAAGGCATATCGTACACACCGGATATGGACAGAGGCATCTTCCGGTTTCCCTCTTCCGACCAAACCATCACCCAGCCGAAGACATTTCCGGCGCATGCGTGTCAGCCTATACATCGAACATTTATTATAATCTGAATTCACTATTCATTCACTTTATCTGCAAGGAAGAAAACGCAGTTGGGAACCTTTCTGTTTAGAAATCATGAAGTTGTTTTTAAAGTACTCAAAATTGTACCCATTTAAACTTAGCTATTTGAATCTATCGTCCCAATAATTATGTTCACCCGTAAATATTTTATGGACAGAAAAAGCCATAAAGTATTAAGTTCAGTAATTCTATCCGAGCTATTTATAAACTACATTGATATAGCCCACAATTTTTTTACACTATTGCTCACGCAAATTTCAGTCCCAAGCGTCTTTCAAGGTAGAGGGTTAATTCGGTCAGTTATGTGCCATGAGTGATACATGCTTAGGCGATCATATATGTTTGGTTACATGATTGACGCGGCAGATTTTCTTTTTCGTAGTAGGTTGCCACTTCTTTCTGCGGTAGAGCAGTTGCTATCCAAGGCTAGAGAAACCGGTCTGTTCTGCTATTTATCCATAACTTGGTGGGAGAAGAGGATTCCCACCTTTCCCGAGGGTATTAGCGCTTAAGTGAATTTAATGGATTCGACTGGAATTCGAACTCAACTCTCCAATTTCTCTATCTATCTCAATGTGTACATTATCTATCTCAATCAGTCATGCGTGATACATGCTTGGGCGATCATGTATCTTTCGATAGTGTTACTGACGTGACAGAATTTTCCGCAATAGGTTGCCATTTCTTTCTGCGGTAGGCCAGTTGCCACCCAAGGCTATAGAACCTGGTCTGCCCTACTATTTACCCATTACTCAGTCGTAATTGATCTAGCGAGACGAGATTGCTAATCATTACACCACGTCGAGGTTCCTAATAATTTTTCTAAGCGTATCTTTGATGTGGCACAGGGTGAAAGTGTGGGGCATCCAGTGAGAATCGAACTCATTGCACATTCGTAATTGATCTACCAAAAGAAGCTTGTTTAGCAATACAACACGCCAGAGTTCCCCATGGAGCATTATAAAAAGCTGGCCATTTTTTTCCAGCGTCTTTGGCGATGGGTCGTATATATGAGTTACATGTGAGGTGCGGTGCTGCTCGAAGCAAAATTTGTTGCTGTAAATAAATTTTTACTCTTCATCACCCTTTTTCGTTCTTGTCCTATCATCGATTCGCACAAATTCCCTATATAGGTTACTCCGTGTTTTGCATCGCTTACCTTACCTTTAGTACGCCTTGTGAGTTTTAAATTCTGTAAGCTCTCTTTTCTCATGTATCACCAACATTTCGACAGCTTCTTTCTCATTGTAAGTTTCCTTGTAGTTACCATTTCCCACAGATTTTCACATTGCATTTTCTATTTATGATATTCTCAGTATTAATAAGAACTTTGATGCTTTAAATGCCGTCTTCATCTGTGAGGAGATCATCAATCATTCACTGCCATATAGGTGATTCGATATTGCATATCAGTAGAGCATACTTTTTTTTCATTTTGTTTCTAAAATTTACTTAATATGATGCTTAGTTTCTGAAAGACATCTTTCACTATTCGCTCCTTCCTTCTCCTCAAACTCCTTCTTCTTCTTCTTCTTCTTCTTCTTCTTCTTCTTCTTCTTCTTCAAGCCGTATACATATTTTGACTCGACTTCCTTCTTCGTAATTTCTGCAAGACATCTTTCACTACTCCTATACACTATCCTCTTCTCCTTCTTCTTCTTCTTCTTAAGTCGTAAACATATTTTGACTCTTACTCGTCCTTCCCCTCCTCCACCTTCTTCTTCATTTTTCAGTTCCTTAATACATTGCTTAGCTTCTGGAGAGTATATTTCATGATTCCTATGCACCTTTGAACGTCACACCTTCCATCGTCTGTTACTATAGTAACCAAATAGTTAAATTCTCTGTGCCTGCTTGATTATCCTACCCCTGCTATGTAACTGGCAACTTGGATTGTCTTATATTATTATTGTTCTTCACCAAATACAAGACACAAGAGCCTCTCAAGTTAGAGGGTTATTAAATGAGGCTGTTGATGACGAAGCGAGAAGTTGACATTACAAGAGGGTGTAAGGAAGATAACGGTTGACCCGAGACTTGAAAAGGTGAAGATTATAGTGATCGGGGAAGCATCCCCTAGGGAGTCTTTTACACAAGGTAGCCGTTCTTGCGAAGCTGTCCAAATGGAATTTGCTGCTTACCAAGAGACTAAGAAGGGAATGAGATCGATTCCTAGCAGTTTACGTGTGATGGCACCGACTCGCATCCGATCATCGGGATTGTCATACTCTCTACCTATTCCCTTTCTCTCCTCTGGTGGAAGCGGCAGAGATGGCAGTGAATCAAAGAGAGTTTGACGAAGCCATTCGCCTGAATTTGATCTTGGTTGACAACTCTGCGCGACGGAGAAGCTAAACACTTGGCCAGAAGCGCCTCGCTCGCGGCTCAAGCGGGATTGAGACAAGCGGGTTCTAGCAAATCTAGTTGTATTGGGTTTGTCGCACGCTTGGTGTGTCAAGGTCCGCCTTGGTTACGCCAGCCCGACTGACGCTACCCTCCTCCTCCAGCTTGAGACTGTGTAGAACTTTGCTTATTCCGCGGGTGGGGTCTTCGGGAGTTGGTCGCGTTCAATCTGGTCCTTATTCTTTGATCTTGCCGCTATATCTCCAGATGGCTTCGCTCATGGGGTCACTGGGACAAGCCCTCTACCATGACAAGTATCAACCATATATATTTTACGCTGGATTTCGGGTTGTACTGTTCGTTATCAAATGTACCACTTTGACTTATTAATACTTTAATGACAATAATAGAAATGAATCAATAAATAATGAAAGAATGAAAGTAAAACTAATAAGTTTTAAATTATCATTAAATATATGGGAGCATTTTTTATTATTGTTGTTGCTAATAATAAATATTTGAGAGATAAATAATAAAGGAAGAAATTCATTACGAACGAATAAAAAAATAGGACGAAAACAAAACAACATTATGGCTCAAAATGGTTTTCATCCGAATTTGAAACTATGAAATATGTCCTTGTCCATCAAAAAAATGTTACGTTACTACAATTAATAAATAAGTAAACGATAAAAGAATAATATTACCAGTAAATGTTTAAAATGTTTAAATGCTAGTGATAGAAATTGATGATATTGAACCAATAATAAGAAATAAGCAAAACAAACATTACAACTCTAAATGCGTTTCCTACAATTTCAAAACTTATGTACTCTTTCGTAAAAGAAAAGAAATATTATGATTCAATATAAATAGAGATTTATTCATGCCAGTGTATAAGTAATTTAACAAATTCTATGCATTAAATAAGTATTTTAACAAATTCAACGCATTAAATGCTCTTAATATAGAAATTCGACTGATAATAGACATTCTTAATAAAGTAAACAGACTTGTTAAAACATTTATTTTAAAAGTAAAAGAAAAACATTCAATGTATACATCGACTTATCTTTAAAAATAAACAAATATGTATTTTAATAATGAAATATTGTAAATGTATAATAATATAGCAAAATTATAATATAATAATAGGAATGAAGTAATAAATAAGAAATGAATAAAAGTATAAAATTATCATTAAATATATGAGAATAATTTTTATTACTGTTATTGCTAAAAATAAATATTTGAGAGATAAATAATAAAGGAAGAAATTCACTTCGAACCAACTGAAAAAACAAACAAAAAAAGCTACGTCACTACAATCAATAAATAAGTAAAGGATAAAAAATTTATTATCAGTAAATGTTAATAAGATCTGAATGATAAATGATAGGGATGGAAATCAACGATAATGAACGAATTGTTAGAAATAAGCAAGACTAACATCATTGTTGTCGCCATCCGTTCGCATCCGAGCATCGTGATTGTCACCCCTCTCTCTCTCTCTCTCTCTCTCTCTCTCTCTCTCTCTCTCTCTCTCTCTCTCTCTCTCTCTTCCCTTTTTCTCCCCCGGGTGGCGGTGGCAGAGATGGCTGTGAATTTAGTTTTGCTGGACAACTCTGCACGACAGAGAAATTCACACATTTAGCCAGAAGGGTCCCATCCACGGATCAAAGGTGATTCAGACGGGCGATATCTGGCAAACCTGAAAAAATAAATAAGAAAGGAATAAAACTAATAAAAGTATAAATTTATCATTAAATATATGAGAATATTTTTTTTATTATTGTTGTTACTAAAAAAATATTTTTTTCAGAGATAAATAATAAAGGAAGAAATTCACTACTGAACCAATGGTAAAAAGAAACAAAAACAAAATAACATTATGACTCGAATCGTTTTTTCTTACCAATTTGAAAATATGAAGTATATCCTTATCAATTAAAAAAATGTTACGTTACTACAATCAATAAATAAGTAAAAGATAAAAGAACAATATTATCAGTAAATGTATAAAATGTTTGAATGATAGGGATAGAAATTGACGATACTGAACCAATAATAATTAATAAGGAAAACAAACATTACAACTCTAAATGCGTTTCCTACAATTTCAAAACTTATGTACTCTTTCATAAAAAATAGAGCGCTTTAATATAAATAGAGATTAATTCATGCCAGTGTATAAGTAAGTTAACAAATACAGTGCATTTAATGTTCTTAATATGATAATCCCGAGTGGTAACAGACATTGTTAATATAGTAAACTTGATAAAATACTTATTTTAAAAATAAAAAATCATTCCCTCCTCTATGACAAGGAATGACTATATATATATATTTCACACCGTATATGGGAGTGAACAGTTCGTTGTCAAATGTTCACTTTTTGCTGTATTACTTTAATGACAATTACAGATACGAATCCATAAATAACAAAACAATGAAAGCAGGACGTATTTTATTATTGTTGTTGCTAAAATAATATTTTTTTCAGAGATAAATAATAAAGGAAGAAATTCACTACTGAACCAATAGTAAAGAAAAAAACTAAAACAAAAAAAGTTTATGACTCAAACGCTTTTCTTCTTCATCATCATCATCACCATAATCATCATCATAATCATCATCATAATCATTATCATCATCATAATCATCATCATCATAATAATAATCATCATCATCATTATCATCATCAACATAATCATCATAATCAGGAATATCATCAACATAATCATAATCATCATCATAATCATGATAATCATCATAATAATCATCATGATAATCATCATAATCATAATCATCATCAACATAATCATCATAATTATCAACATCATCATAATCATCATCATAATCATGATAATCATCATAATGATTATCATCATAATCATCATCATCATAATCATCATCAACATAATCATCATAATCATAATCATCAACATAATCATAATCATCATCATAATCATCATCATTATCAAAACTGTTTCGATTAGCGGTCATGAATTAACATGATCTCTGATCGTCAGCGACATTGTATACTGATTCGACAATATTTTGACAGCCTTCTCTGTCCTCTGGGGATTTGCGGATTCGTTGCAGAACTTCCTCGATTGTAAACTTCTCCAAAGAAAATGTGGATATTTCTGCTTTGCTCTTTGAATGTCTCAGTTCAGCTTTGTGATTATCGTGGTTCTTGGATGACCTCTGAACTTTCTGAAATCAGTCTTTTCAAAGTAAAACTCCATGGCTTTGTTAGCTGGGCATTCTAGATCCATTCACAAAATATGTCCATGAACAAAGACAAATGAGATACTTGACATTTGCTGTACAAGTTTTTGTTGGAGATCTTACGAGGGTATCATTTCCTTATGAGAATTCGCAGTTGTCGTCTGTGGAAACTGTCCAGCTCCTGCTCTTCTATCCTGGTAAGGCCCCAAGAATTCTAGATCATGAAATTGGAAATTCCATAGCATTTTCCGAATATTGTCTTTCACAGAATGCAACGTCTTAAATAAGTAGTTACTACTTAACAGTAAATTGAGCAGCCATTACGTACTCCGCTATTTCTTAGAAATTTGAAAATATGTCCTCCTCAATAAATAAAAAACATGTGACGTTACTACAATCAAGAAATAAGAAAAGGATAAAATAATAAAATTATTGGCAAATATTGTTAAAAGTGTGATGGTAGATTTTAGCTGCAAAGCTCTGAACTCGAGAATATGGCTAAACTAATAAATGTGGTTCGTCAGAAGATTTTCTATCGAAATAATAATTGAGTAGTAAAAGGTGACGTACCGATTGCCTGTCGGAAATGTGTTATAGAGTGAGGAATAAGTCATCACCCACAAGTTGGCTTTTGAATTTTATCAAGACTGGAAATGTAGCTCCAGCTTAGATATGGCATCTGTACTCCATTTTGGTCTGATCTATGTTTTGTAAAGACAGAACATAGCATGCTGACAAACATGTATTCTATCATCTTCCAGTTAATTATCTGGCTTTTCCTTTTCTCTTCATTACCAAAAGTAATTTTCTACATGCCAAGAATTACAATAACACTGTCGTATATGTTTTAACCACAGAATTCTGTTTTCATTTTTTTTAGTCTGCGGATATAAAAGCTATTTATTTAATATTTAATAATTCAATTTAATTTAATAATTCCGGCAATGTGTCCTGACTTATAGAATTTTAATCGATTTAACGGATACGAATTTAGATTCTCTTTGCCGGAGCTGATTTGCCAATGTGGAGAGGGAAAATAGATGATGTCCTGATTATGTCAGAGGGTCGGGGAGAGACAAAGAGCTAATACAGAGAATAAAATCGGGAGTTTTAAAAAAAAAGCGGGAAATGTAGAATAAAAAATATAAAATGGCGTTATTCATTTTCTTATTTCATTTTTCATCATAAAATGAAATTCAATTGAAATTTGTTCTCGAACATTGTTTTCCAGAGGCGACAATGGCTTCCCGGATTTAGATACCTCGCTTTTTAGACATTTTATTTGTAATTTTTACGTTTCTTTTGTATCTTTTAAATATTTGTTTTGACTTTTTTTTTTTTCCCCAACGTCTCCATTCCTTCTTTATTTCATTATGGTAGTTTTTTTCTTCTTCCCCTTTCTATTTTTTCTCGTCTTTTCATTTCCTCGCTTTTTTTTTTTCACGTCCAATTGTCTACGATTACCTCCCTTGCATTTCCTACACCATGTTTTGCTTTCACTTCCTCATCGCTTTTGTCTCCAACTCCCCCTCCTCCCGCTCTTCCTCCTAATTATCATCATCAATATTTTCTGTTTTTGTGTCCCACATATTCCGATTTTTTTGTCTATTCCTGGTTCTTCCACGTTTATTCGCTTTCTGCTTTTTCCTTCTTCAATATACTTCTTTTCTTCATCTTTTTTAAATCTTTCAAACATTGCCTTCTTCTTCTTTTTTTCTTACTCTTTCTTATTCTTCTTCGTCTTCTTCTTATCCACCTTTCTTTTTCTTCATGTGTACTATTATCCTCTTCTTCTTCTTCTTCTTCTTTTCCTTCTTCTTCTTCTTCTGACATTTCTTTTTTATTCTTTTTCAAATGTATTTTTACCTTCTTCTTCTTCTTCTTCTTCTTCTTTTTCTTCTTCTTCCGTTTCTTTTTTTATTCTTCATTCTTTCTTCTATTTCTTCTTCTTCATTTGTACTATTATCCTCTTCTTCTTCTTCTTCGTCTTCTTCTTCTTCTTCTTCTGACATTTTTTTATTCTTTTTCAAATGTATTTTACCCTCTTCTTCTTCCATTTCTTTTTTATTCTTCTTCAAATGTATTTTTACCCTCTTTTTCTTCTTCTTCTTCTTCATGTTTTTCTTCTTCAAGTGTACTTTTACTATCTTATTCTTCTGCTGCTTCCTCTTCTCATTTTCTTCTCATTTTTTCTTCTTCTTCAAGTGTCATTTTACCCTATGCTTCCGATTCTTCATCCAATTCTTCCTCTTTCTTCTTCTTCTTCTTCTTCTTCTTCTTCTTCATTCGTCTTTTTTTATTCTTTTTCAAGGGTACTGTTACCTTCGTCTTTATCTTCTTCTTCCACTTTCTTCTTCATCATCTCCCTTTCTTCTTCCTTTTTCTTCTTCTGTTTTATTTTTTTATTTTTTTTATATTTCTTTTTCAAATGTATTTTACCCTCTTCTTCTTCCATTTCTTTTTTATTCTTCTTCAACTGTATTTTTACCCTCTTCTTCTTCCTCTTCTTCTACCGCTTTACATTCTTTTTCTCTTTCTTTTTCCTTCTACAAGTTAACTTTTACCCTATTGTTCTTCCTTTTTTTTCTTCATCTTCCTTTCTTCTTCATTCTTCTTCTATGTGTTCTTCTTCAAGCGTATATTTATCCTCTTCTTTTTCCTTTTTATTCTTCTTCAAGTGTACTTTTACTCTCTTCTTCTTCTTCTTCTTTATTTTATTTTTTCTTCTTCTTGCTCTTCAACTTCTTTTTTTTCTATTCTTCTTCAAATGTTCTCCTTCTTCTTCTTCTTCGCTATCTTTTTCTTCCTCTTCCTTTCTTCTTCAAATGTACTTTTAACCTCTTCTTCATCTTTTCTTCATCTTCCTTTCTTCTTCCTTCTTCATTTTATTCTCCTTCAAGTGTACTTTACCATTTCCTTCTTTTGCTTTCCTTCTTTTTCCTCCTCTTTTTTTTATTCTTCTTCAAATATACTTCAACAGTCTTTTTCTTCTTCTTTCTTCTTATTTTTTTATTCTTCTGCAAGTGCATTTTTATCGTTTCCTTCCTTTTCTTCTTCCTCTTCTTCTTCTTCCTCTTCTTCCTCGAATCGTATTTATTTTTTGCCTTCCACCTTTCTTTTTATTGTTCTTTTCTTACCATTCTCTCTTCACTTATTTTTCCTTTTTTTTTTCTATGCTCATGCTTCACTTCATTGAATTAACCATTCCCTCCATGCAGTCTTTTCTAATAATTTCACTTTTCGCTTCTGATATTCGTCAATTCTAAGTGGATTTTGAAACGACTTCATTTATTGGTTATTACCACCCGTTTTTCTTGTCTTCGAGAACTCTCCAGAACTCTTCTCTCTAATCAACCTCACCACTTTCACTTCAACCAGCATTCGCATAGCTACCGTCATACGAAATGTGTTTCTTCTTCTTACTATCGCCGGACAGTAAGGCAAAAAAAAAACGACGCATTTTTACAAACGAGACGATGAAAAAAAAAACGAGGAGAAAAAAATCTTACATGGGCGTTATTGAATTGGCAACGTCATGGAACCATGTTAGAAACCCCATTCGGTTAATGTTTTATATGATTTAATAGCATTTAGGCGAGGTTTTCTTCTTCGGAAATCCAATTTAAATTTTCAATTTGTTTTTCCATTACTCTGCCTTTCAAATTGGAGAACATTTCCTTTCTATCTATCTATCTATCTATCTATCTATCTATCTATCTATCTATCTATCTCAGTCCCATACTTTTCTTATCTCTCTGTTTCTCTCTCTATCTCAGCCTCTTATCTATCTATCTATCTATCTATCTATCTATGGCAGTTTCTTAATTATCTGTCTAGCTAGTTATCTAGATAGCGCAGTCCCATATTTTATTTCTATTTCTCTATCTATCTATCTCTCTATCACTCTGTCTATCTCAGTCTCATGCTTTATATTTATCTCTCTCTCTCTCTCTCTCTATCTATCTATCTATCTATCTATCTATCTATCTCAGTCCCTTATCTTCTTTTTATCTATCTATCTATCTATGGAACGATATAATTTCTAACGAGGAATTGTCCACTAAGTGCGATGCAAAGCATAGAGGCCATCTTTTTTAAGTCTCACATAACACTGATAGGTCATTTGATAAGAATATCTGACTTTAGACTAAAGAAAATTCTGATGTACGTTCACCTTGTTAGTGATCAGGATAATGTTGGAAGATTCCTTCCGAGATACAAAGATGAGCTCAATTATAATTTAAGATCCATCAGAGTCCACTTAGAAAACTTAGAAGAGATCATGGAAAACAGTGAAAACTGAGAAAAGTCAGTTTCTACATTATCTATCTATCTATCTATCTATATATATATATATATATATATATATATATATATTTTTAATGCTCAAACGTTATTTTAATGGAGTATTTTCATTGGAATAGATGCTCTGTGTTTATTTATTTATTTACATCGACCAGTCTGAATATTAAAAACCACAAATATGACGGATTTAATACATTTTCTGATATATATATATATATATATATATATATATATATATATATATATATATATATATATATATATATATATATATATATTTATATTTGGTTTGGTTTGGTTTGTTTAGTTTTACGGTATATCAAACTCAATGGGTCATTTAATGCCGACAGCATTTTTTTTCTGGTCATATTTTTGTTTGTCAAAATCTATTCCTGGTAATGTTTTTTTCTTCAAAAATGTATATATATCTGGGGATATTATTTTAAAAACGTATTGCTGGTAATAGTTTATATATATATATATATATATATATATATATATATATATATATTTAATGAAAAGCAGACCACTTTAAGGTACCATTACAATAATTTATTTCACCAAAATCCTTTTAAAAAGGATTTCGGATCATCAGGTAACACTTATATATATATATATATATATATATATATATATATATATATATATATATATATATATATATATATACAGATAAAATGAGAGTAAATGGAATATAATTCCATTGTAGTGCTGAAAACATGATTGTAACTGTGTATACTTTTAACATGTTTTTGTTCTAATATCCTAAAATAATTAATTATATATATATATATATATATATATATATATATATATATATATATATATATATATATATATATATATTTTCTCTAAAGCAATTACGAGTTAGTTCGATCCTCACTGGTACCCAATAATTTCGGCTTTGTGCCACATCTAAGCTGTATTTAGAAAATCACCATATATATATATATATATATATATATATATATATATATATATATATATATATATATAGAGAGAGAGAGAGAGAGAGATTATTAAAAGTTAAACGCACGTCCTCTAGATTTTCCTCATCTGTGGGGATATTATCTAACATTAACTGCCACATAACACGATGGACATCACATAGAAACCCAGCATACATTTCTTTGTTTATGACGTTTTTTTTCCGTTTCTCAGTACTTTTCTTAGCTTTTGGAAGCTTTTCTTTCGCTTGTGAAATCCCTGTTTGGATCTGATGTGACACATTTTGCATCTTCCCAGCAGAACCGGCACTACGGTCTCACTCCTCCGAGACTCTGATACGACACCCCACCCCACACCACCTACTACATGGCGATTTCAATGTTTCCCATCTTGTCGGCCAAAATCACCCGAAAAATATTTGGTGGGTGAAAGGGCAGCGCTTTCTTAAACAATTACCAATAAATAAGGAATTATTCAATTTAAATGAAAACTTGAGAAATATACATATTTTTTTTTTTTACTTTATAATGAATAGTTTTCTTATTAAAAAAAAATTGTGAAAATGTTATTCTTTTTGAAACAATCGGCAATATTTTCATGACTAAATTTTATTCTAAAAATTTGTTTCAGTCGCAATTATTTTACATTTCCATAAAGATTAATCCCAATGCATGTCCGCTGAAAAATGTTTTACAAAGATTCCAACACAACACAAACGGAATTGTCGTAATTTTTTTTGTTAAAAACAGTATTTTAGTTTTCGGCAATTTTTTTGATATGCATAAATCTAAATATTTTTATTATTTAAGCGATCATTTTCTCTTAAAAAGAGAATTTTTAGAAATGTAAAAAGTGGGGACTAGAAATGTTATTTTAATCACTACTTGTAGCTGTTTAGTATGACTATTAGTAAAAAAAGTCAAAGATACTCCTTAGTGGATGATCTCGGAATAAAACATGATTTTACTAAGATATTATCCTCTTAAATGATTTAAAAGAACTTTTTCAGAAAGAAAATTACAATTTAAAAAAATAAGCGCTACTGAAATTAGCACTTCTGCACCCCCCCTCTCCAGTACGCATGCCTTCCCCCAACACACACACACACGGTTGAGAAGTTCGGGTTAGTAAGCATCGTCGCCGATTATTATAGTTGAATGATTGACAATATAATTTAGGAAGAAAACGTAAAAATTATAAAAAGCAAAAAACGTAGCTGAAACTACCCCTTTTTAGGGCTCCAACCTTGTCGTAGGTTTCTGCTTAGTATGCAACGCAACGGCCATGCAGATATGTCATGTATATTATTAGTAGATGACTGACAATGTAACGTCAGTTGAAAAATAGTTTTTAAAATGGCGGATGGCATCAAAGAGTGCTGAAAAATGGCAGAGTCGACAACGTGTCCCAGTTTGCGTTGCAGAGTATTATTATTATTTTTTTGTTAATGCGTTTGCAAGTCTATTACTCGAACTGTCCCCTAAAACTAAAAGAGATAAACATGCATTTCCTTAATTTCTACCGGTACACCGTAATATAATGTAGAAAAAATCAATTGTCAGTTGTAAACACAATTATAATCAAACGCTACACATGGACACAACACATGCATGCACACGCACATATATATATATATATATATATATATATATATATATATATATATATATATATATAGCAGTAGAACCAGGCATTGCCCGGGGATGTAACAGTAAGAGATAGATCAAGTATCGACCATCATAAAGACTGAAAAATAAAATTGACAAAGATTATTGTTTAAGGTTGACGGACACGCATGTCTTAATTAATTTTTTTTTTTTTTTTACGAATTGGTCAAACCCAAACTCAAACAAAAACATTTTTTCAATCGTTATGAGTCTACCGATTGAATAGAATTTTATTATAAACAATTGTCTTGTAAATGGAATTTTTAAAGCATTCTGAATGTAAAAATAAAGAAAAAAAGTGCAAGACAATAAGAAATACTACCTGCCAAAAAAAAAAGTGAAGTTTTGTTGAAATCGGTTGAAAAATGTAGGAAATCCGATCCCATATATAAACGAACACACACACACACACACACACACACAAACAAACAACCTGGATTTTATAATAAGTATAACTCGATATGAGTTGTCCCCCTTTCATTCTGGCGACAGAATCGTGTTTTATCATGTTTTCAAATTGATTTCGTGCAAAAACAATTGTGTTTTTCCAATTTTTGGTGCTGTCAGAACCACCGCAAGGTAATTTTACGCAGTCCTGTGAAGTTTTGTTGAAATCGGTTGAAAAATGTAGGAAATCCGACCCAATATATAAACGTACAGACACACACACACACATACAATCTGCGTAAAAAGTAAGATATATATATATATATATATATATATATATATATATATGTATGTATGTGTGTGTGTGTGTGTGTGTGTGTGTGTGTGTGTGTGTGTAAAATATATAGAAAATAGGAAAGAACTCGTTAGGTAAATAATCCAAGGTTCTTTAGTATTTTTGTTATTATTTTTAAAAAACAGTGCTCGATACAAAAGTAGAGCCTAAATATAATTATTTATTTAAAAATATGATTCCATCGCCGCATTTGTGGAAAAAAAATTCGCTTGAAGATGGAACAGAACTTTAATTCAAATAATTATATTGAAGTTTTCGGCTCTTGTTTTGAAACATGAGATCTCTTATGTAACGATGTAATCATATTTTTAAATAAATAATTATATATATTGCGATTGCGCCTAGCATGAAACACCCTGTGATCTCTGAGTCTTCACATCAATGTTCACTTTTATATTCATATTTATATACGCTCTATGTCTGATATTGAGCACTTTATCCCATTAAAACTATATTTCTACACACACACACACACACACACACACACACACACACACACATATATATATATATATATATATATATATATATATATATATATATATATATATTATTCTTTATTCAAAAATTATAATATAAGTATGTTATAACATCACTACAACAATAGCCATTTTGTTTCAACACTTCTGGGGCCTTGTGAAGTGATGATGTTGCAAGTAAAATACAGAATTTTTGAAGAGTTCAAAAACCAACCATTATCTCCACTGGGGTAAATATTTTTACGTAAGATGTAATGGCCAATCAAATTACAAATATATGATAATTCAAATAATGCGACAACGGGACCTTGATACAATTTATTAATGCTTTAAAATTAATATTAGATTTTATAGGAAATCAGGATAACTAATTAATCTCCAGTTTATGTATTTATTACAAAATAAATGAACAAACAAATATGTTGAAAATGTTACAAAATGTCGAGTAGATATTGATGTTTTTTTTTTTACCTAATTTAATACACCTCTATGTAGGCCCAATTAGTTGCATGAAGCACATCAAGATGAGACTCGATTTCTTGTCATGTTCACATAGCCTCATTAATGGTGACAATGGCATCAATGTTCTATTTTAGATCTTTGAAGTTCTGTATGTTTCTAATCCCATAGAAAGAAGTTCAGGTGAGTGATATCTGGTGATCAAGGTGAGCAGGGGATTGGGCCATCCCTTCTAATCCACGGGTCTGGAAATGTTAGGGGTTCATTTAGCAGTACTTCTTTCATTAACAGGATACATAGAAATACACAAATGCAACGTGATTAAAAACATAACTACTGAGTACATAGAATAAATCTGGTTAACTCATCAATTGCTTTTTAAATTAATTTTGTAAATTGTGAAAAGTCATTATGGACACCATGTAAACATCTATCTATCTATCTATCTATCTATCTATCTATCTATCTATCTATCTATTATGACACATACAAATACTATCTATCTATCTATCTTTTGGTGTTTTTTTTTATTTTAATCCACCTATATATGGACACCATTAGATGCACGAAGCACATCAAGACGTTACTCGATTTCTTGCCATGTCCGCTGTAGTATAGCCTCATTAATGGTGGAAATCTCATCAGTTATTTCTTTCTTTTAGATCAGCGATGTCCAGTATATTTGTGCCAGACACAATATTTTTAACATAATATCTTTAACCATGACACATATTGTGCCTTTTTTTTTGAGGAGTAGCCATTTTTAGGGGTTCATTTAATAGTACCTCTTTCATCTACAGGAAACCTGAAATACAAAAATGCGATGTGATTAAAAACCTTAATAACTACTGACTACATAGAACAAATTTGATTAAGGTGAGATAGTTTAATTGTAATATATATATATATATATATATATATATATATATATATATATATATATATATATATAAATTGTAAGGAGACTTTATAGGCAACTTATATATCTGTAAAAGGAAAAATTAATAAAAACGAAAGCCCATTTGAATGACATTATCACACACGGCCCAGTAAAAGAAAAAGTTGATTTTGGAGAGACTGAAAATTACAAGCCAATCCTCTCCATTAAGTTCTTCCCTTTCGCTAAAAGCTCAATGGGGGGCGGGGGGTTACTAGCCTGTAATAATCAGTTCCTCAAAATCTAAACTAGTAACGTTCACCGAGTATTTCAAGTCTCATGCTGAATGGTTCACGCCCCTTTCCGGCAACGGCTATTCACCTCACTCGTCCCATACCGCAAGTGGAACCCGTATGTACTTTTTTTTATAAGCATTTTGCCCCAAGCATGGCGAGAGTGCCACTAACATGCAAGGAGTTACAGAGGGTAGAGAACAAGAGTAAAAAGCTGTGTTTGGGGAGAGGATAAAGGGAAGGTCGGGGAACAAGATCTAGGTATCAGAAGATGACGATTGACATTACACTTGAATATTTGAAGATTATAATTATCAGGGAAGCAAGTAAGAGGAAGAGAATTCCACAGACGAGAAGTGCGAGAGAAGAAGCTGTTTGAGTAGAAAAGACGCTTGCATTTAACCGACTGCAACAGAGTGGGACCGAAATGCCAACCTAGTAGCTCGCTTAAATTCATGCAGTCTGGGAACCAGCGAAAGCAACTCGTTGGAACAGTTACCATGGAAATACTTATCGAAGAGACAGAGGGAAGCTACGGTAGGGCTGTGAGAAAGCGACTGTAGGCTAGGTGCCAGATCAGGACCTGTCTGGATTTTGTCAAGGACCTCGAGGCTTACTGCATGGGCACCAGACCATATATGACAGCAATATTGCATGAAAGGACGGAGGGTTGATTTATAGATTTGAAGGCAGGACTCAGACGAGAGAAACCTTCTGACACGACACGGAGAACCAATTTTCCTTCCGGTAGATGAAGCTATTGAGTCTGTGTGTTTGTTCAACCTCATATCAGCGGACAGATGTACGATACATTGATAAAGAGGCTGAAACCTCATATCAGCGGACAGATGTACGATACATTGATAAAGAGGCTGAAACCTCATATCAGCGGACAGATGTACGATACATTGATAAAGAGGCTGAAACCACATATCAGCGGACAGATGTACGCTACATTGATAAAGAGGTTGAAACCTCATATGACAGATGTACGATACATTGATAAAGAGGCTGAAACCTCATATGAGCGGACAAATGTACGATACATTGATAAAGAGGCTGAAACCTCATATGAGCGGACAGATGTACGATACATTGATAAAGAGGCTGAAACCTCATATGAGCGGACAGATGTACGATACATTGATAAAGAGGCTGAAAACTGATATCAGCGGACAGATGTACGCTACATTGATAAAGAGGCTGAAACCTCATATGACAGATGTAAGATACATTGATAAAGAGGCTGAAACCTCATATGAACGGACAAATGTACGATACATTGATAAAGAGGCTGAAACCTCATATAAGCGGACAGATGTACGATACATTGATAAAGAGGCTGAAACCTCATATGAGCGGACAGATGTACGATACATTGATAAAGAGGCTGAAACCTCATATGAGCGGACAGATGTACGATACATTGATAAAGAGGCTGAAAACTGATATCAGCGGACAGATGTACGATACATTGATAAAGAGGTTGAAAACTGATATCAGCGGACAGATGTACGATACATTGATAAAGAGGCTGAAACCTCATATGACAGATGTACGATACATTGATAAAGAGGCTGAAACCTCATATGAGCGGACAAATGTACGATACATTGATAAAGAGGCTGAAACCTCATATGAGCGGACAGATGTACGATACCTTGATAAAGAGGCTGAAACCTCATATGAGCGGACAGATGTACGATACATTGATAAAGAGGCTGAAAACTGATATCAGCGGACAGATGTACGCTACATTGATAAAGAGGCTGAAACCTCATATGAACAGACAAATGTACGATACATTGATAAAGAGGCTGAAACCTCATATAAGCGGACAGATGTACGATACATTGATAAAGAGGCTGAAACCTCATATGAGCGGACAGATGTACGATACATTGATAAAGAGGCTGAAACCTCATATGACCGGACAGATGTACGATACATTGATAAAGAGGCTGAAACCTCATATGAGCGGACAGATGTACGATACATTGATAAAGAGGCTGAAAACTGATATCAGCGGACAGATGTACGATACATTGATAAAGAGGCTGAAAACTGATATCAGCGGACAGATGTACGATACATTGATAAAGTGGCTGAAAACTCATATGAGCGGACTGATGTACGATACATTGATAAAGAGGCTGAAACCTCGTATGAGCGGACAGATGTACGATACATTGATAAAGAGGCTGAAACCTCATATCAGCGGACAGATGTACGATACATTGATAAAGAGGCTGAAACCTCATATCAGCGGACAGATGTACGATACATTGTTAAAGAGGCTGAAACCTCATATCAGCGGACAGATGTACGATACATTGATAAAGAGGCTAAAACCTCATATCAGCGGACAGATGTACGATACATTGATAAAGAGGCTGAAACAAGGACTGGTTCCTTGAGTCGCTCCTGTAAGTACCTGACTCCCCCTGCTATTCTTTACCTTTACAAGAGCCAGATCAGACCAAAAAAGAATGACTGCTACAATATCTTAACTATAGGTGCAAAGTCCTCCGTTTCTGGCCTTGATAGAATTCAGAACGCATCTATGCGTCCTTGTGGGTGATGACTTATTCCCCCCCCTACGACCTCTTTCCCCAGAGACGAAACGTCGCTGGTCTCTCAACATATCACATAGCCGTAAGCCGCCATAGAAAGAAAGTGAAGATAGAGGAATCGATAACGCTGTCATGGTTTTAATATCTGCGTCAGTGAATTGAAAAGTCTTTTTTCAATTTTGAGTCGTCTCATTTGTACCCTCTTACTTCTTTAACGGCCTGCATTCATATTTATTTAGTCTGTTGCTATTTTGTTACAGTTGCTAAGGCTTACGACCACATCACGTTGAAACACCAGTTCCCATCAAAGGTAGTACCTAGATAGGTGACTGCTTGAGAATGACACGTACTCTAATTTGGGATGGGCTGGTAGTGTAATGGATAATGGCTCGGAATTGTTACTCAGAGAGTCGTGTTCCTTTTCTGTTGGGGCTCGCTATATTCACTTAGGCGCAAATACCCTTGGGAAAGGTATGAATCCATATATTCCCCTCCAACTATGGGTTAATTACTTGTTTCACGAAACCATTATTATCACCCCGAATATAACAATGTTACAATCTAAAATCTTTAAATAACCCGCAAAGTTGTCATAAGTTGTAGAGGACGAATAAAAAATAAAGTTGTAAAGCTCAAATATTTAACGATGCAACCGGGAAATTTCCACATGTATTTTATAGACTCAAAACTTGCCATGAGTTTATTTAATCATTATCCTACGAATAAAGATTCATCAGAAAATTAAAACAGAAAAACGTGAAATTTTTAAGGAGAATTACAAGTATATATGAAATGATACAATCGTAAACATTTCTGGCTTCCCAGCTTCGATGGAATCGCATAAAAGGGACACTATGAACAAGATTCTTTTTGCTGTCAAATCCAGTCCGTAGAGACAATGTTAGCATTCGTTTTTTTTATTATTCCTTTCTCTAAATTAGCACGGAGAGCAGGGTCACATATTCTTGGTTGCCAATGGTACGCATGCGCGTTCAACATTTGTTCAATTCAGGAGCGAAAGGTGAACGGGAGCAGCTGTCATGTCCGCTGGACGAACCAGTTTGGCCGTGAGTGGTTAAGCTTTGTTTGCAGACAATGCAATGATCACAGCTTTAAATGGAAAAAGAAAACTCATTGAATAGGAAGCAAATATGAAGAATTCCTCGAAGAAATAAGAATTCTTAAAGGGATTTTTTTTTTTTTTTTTGCTACATTCGTTTTTAATGTTTTTTTTTTTCTCTTTATTCGAATCATACATGACAATGAATGGGTTATGATTTCTGTTTGCTTCTTTATACAGTCTCCTTCTTTTGTAGTGGGGCTTGTTTTCGAGAGCGTTCGGTTTTTTTTATACCTTTTTCTACTTCATATTTCTACTTTTTCATATTCTTATTCCTCTACGACGCAAAAAACAAAATATGATAACAATCTTAGATCCAGACGTCATCTTGTCCTTTTTCTTATATTATTCTTACAGTTTATTTTTTTAAATAATCACTTTCTCCTCACCATTTCTTCTTCTTCTTCGTCTTCTTCTTCTTCTTCTTCTTCTTCTTCTTCTTCTTCTTCTTCTTCTTCTTTTCTTTTATTCTTCTTCTTCCTCTCCTCCTCTTTATTCTTCTTCTTCCTTTCCCGTCTTCCTCCTTATTCTTCTTCTTCCTCTCCTCCTCCTCTTCTTTTTGATGTTATTGTTCTTCTTCTCTTTCTTCTTCTTCCCCTCCTCCTCCTTCTTCTTCTTCTTCTTCCTCTCCTCCTCCCCCTTCTTCTTCTTCTTCTTCTTCTTCTCTTTATACTTCTTCTTCCTCTCCTCCTCCTCCCCCTTCTTCTTCCTCTTCTCCTCTTCCTCCTTATTCTTCTTCTTCCTCTCCTCCTCCTCTTCTTTTTGATGTTATTGTTCTTCTTTTTCTTCTGCTCTTTCTTCTTCTTCCCCTCCTCCTTCTTCTTCTTCTTCTTCTTCTTCTTCTGTTTCTCGTGTTCAATGTCTTCTCTTCGAAAATGTTATTTCTTCTCTTCAGCCTATTTTATCTCATGCAACGTTAACTTTTTTTCCATTTCTGCTTTTATTCCTTTTCCAATTTCCTTCTTCTTGATTTTCTGTTACTCACTTCCAGGTTTTTGTCTTCGACAATGTTATCAACTAACTTCATTTTTTTTATCTAATGAAAAGTTATCTATTATTTTAGTTTTCTTTTATTCCTTGCCAGACGCCTTCTTCTACTTCTTCATTTTTGTCTCTCTTCATACTTTTTCATCTAATCCACCATTAGCTTTTTTTTCTCCTTTTATTCCTTTCCGCTCTCTCCTCCTCCTCCGCCTCATCCTCCTCCTCCTGCTTCTTCTTCTTCTTCTTCTTCTTCTTCTTCTTCTTCTTCTTCTTCTTCTATTCGATAATGTTTTCCCCTCTTCATTGTTTATCATCTAATACTACGTTAACTGTTTTTTCTTTTTCTTCTTTTATTTCTTTCCACTTTCTCTTTCTTTTTCTTATTCTCATTCTTCTTCTTCTTCTTCTTCTTCTTCTTCTTCTTCTTCTTCACTATGCCTTCAGCTTCGATGTCTTCTTCCATTCCTTTTCCTAAATCTTTTTCTTTTTTTCTTGTATATCTCTTTCAAAATCTTCCTCTACAAGTTCCTTCTACACCGTCTTCCTTCTTCTTCTTCTTTTTCTTCTTCTTCTTCTTCTTCTTCTTCTTCTTCTTATTATTATTATTATTATTATTATTATTCTACTATTACTACTAATATTAATAATAACAATAATACTGCTTCTTCTTCTTTTTCTTCTTTTTCTTATTTGTATTTTGTATCATTCAAAGAGATTGATCGATAAAATTACTGAACACAGCCAACATTTTAGGTGCAAAATCTACAGTGGGCAATTATCCCGTTTCTTTCGGGGCCATGGTAATTGCCAAGAGGTATTGCTGCCATATCTGCTACAGATCCGGCCAACTGTTTCTTTCCAAGACCTTCACATCTAAGACTCCCTATGCAATATACAAAGATATAAACCTTCCTTATTCCATTCCTATTATATAGTTTAAAAAAAAAGGCAAGTTCTATTCAGATAGATTTTTCGTCTCCTTTTTGAAAAAGACTCCCAAGAGGATATTTCCGAAAATCTACTTCCTTAACCTCACCCAAAGTGTATAGTCTGCATTTACTCGGTAGACATACACTCCGAGTGCTTTTGGCTTTTTATTGAGCAAACATCTATTTTTCGTTATTTTACAGACACTTGTACTCCTTATTTACTCGTTTTCCTCCTTAATTTTTCATTATCCTATAGATTTTCAGACGTCAATTTCTATTTCCACACGTCTTTCTCTTTTTCTTCTTCTTTATTCCCATTCTTCTTCTTCTTCTTCTTCTTCTTCTTCTTCCACTCCTCTTCCTCCTCCTCCTCCTCCTTCTTCTTCTTCTTCGGAATCTGCTTTTCATCTTCTCTTCCTCCTGCTTATTCTTCCTTTTCCCTTCTTTCTTTTTCTTCTTCCATTTCTTATTCTTCCCATCCTTCTTTACCCTTTCTTCTTTTTCCCTTCTTCTTCTTCTTCTTCTTCTTCTTCTTCTTCTTCTTCTTCTTCTTCTTCTTCTTCTTCTTCTTCTTCGGAATCTGCTTTTCGTCTTCTCTTCCTCCTGCTTATTCTTCCTTTTCCCTTCTTTCTTTTTCTTCTTCCATTTCTTATTCTTCCCATCCTTCTTTACCCTTTCTTCTTCTTCTTCTTCTTCTTCTTCTTCTTCTTCTTCTTCTTCTTCTTCTTCTCCCTTTCTCCCTATTGTTCTTTTCGTTTCTTCTTCTCCTCCTTGTTCTTTATTTTTCCCCTTCTTCTTCTGTTTGTTTTTCTTTTTGTTTCGTTTCCTTCTTCCATTTCTTATTTCCCCTTCTTCTTCATCATCATCATCTTCTTCCTCTTCTTCTTCTTCTTCTTCTTCACCTTCTTTTCCCCCTCTTCTTCTTCTTTATACATTCTTCCTCTTCTTCTTCTCCATCTTGTTGTTCTTTTTTTCTCTTCCTTCTTTTTCTCCCTCTCCCCATGTTCTTCTCCCACTTCTTATTTTCCCATTTTTATTTACCCCTTCTTCTTCTTCTTCTCCTCTGCTTCTTTTTAGTTTTCCTTTTTCTTTTTCCGCTTCTTATTTTCCCCTTCTTCTTCCTCTTCTTCATCATTTTCTTCTTCTTCTTCTTCTTCTTCTTCTTCTTCTTCTTCTTCTCGTGTTCATTCTGTTCATTTTCCTCTTCTAATGCCTTTTCCTCTTTTTACTTCATCATCGTTTGGTGCCTTTTCTCTCTTTATCTTCTTTTCATCATTGTTTCCACTACTATCATTCTCCAATTTATATTATTATTATTATTATTATTATTATTTGATTTTGCCTTGTGTAGTATGAGTTTGCCTCAAGTCTCAATCAGAAATTTCAAGAGACAACAAGGTTTTTTTTACATCAGGAGATACAAACAGATGAAATTCCATGCAATCAAAGAGAGAGAAAAAAAATAATGTAATTGTGGTCACTGCATGGAGCGAAATCTACGCAAGATGTGAGAAGTCCCCATGAGTAGGATTGTTTGCAATTCACATATTACAGGGTTACTAGGAATTTGTTCCACATAATTGTTTGCTCCTTTTGATATCATTCCCGAAACCCCAATGGCAAACAGGTAACCATGTCGTCGTCTTTAGATACCGCATTCCACTGATTTTGATCATCAAATACTTGTATTGATTTCGTTTCATCGTCTTCTTCTTCTTTTATTCTTCTTCCTGTATTTATTATTATTATTATTAAATCTATTTTTTGTCGGATATGATACCTGTTTTTTTAAACATAACATGAAGAAGACAGACATACTGTCGAAATATTGTTTAATTTTCTTAAATACTGTTTTTTTTCTATTCGGAAATGGTGCACTTTTTTTAAATGTTTTCTCGTTATCATCATCGTCATTGCAATCATTATTTCAATATCTGTCTATATCTCTGAGATGAGGTATTATGATTACTTACATTATTTACATTATTCAGACTGTTATCCTCATCTTCATTGCCATATTCACAACGTTTCGGCCATTATACGCTCCGGCTTTTATGTTTATGTCTCTCTATATATCTGTCTATATGTCTGAGGTTAGGTATTATGATTACTTGCATTATTTACATTATTCGGACTGTTATCCTCATCTTCATTGCTCTATTGACAACGTTTTTTGGTTCGCCACTGCTGTGGACTGATATTGAATTCACAAATATTTGGGTCTAGTCACTGGATCTAACCAACGTCTTTATCCACTGAGCCAAAAACTTAACTGAGACATCCGGAAGAGGCATCGCACGTGGAGCTAGAACATTTTACCCCGGTGGACGAAATAAAGACTTCGGCTTGAAATTCCAATCACCCGAGGAAGGCCGCATCGTACAATGGCCAAAACGTTGTGAATATGGCAATGAAAATGAGGATAACAGTCCGAATAAAGTAAATAATGCAAGTAATTACTTCTTCTTCTTCTTCTTCTTATTATTATTATTATTATTATTATTATTATTATTTTACTTGATTTGATTTCTGATGTGTACTCATTTATTTCCGAGTCCCTCCTACCCAGGGACTTACGGTTAGAAATAGCATAATATTCTCCACTGGAAAAAACATTACATAGACAAAGCCCTTCGTGAGGTTGTGGGCTGTACTCGTGAGAACAATTTTTTGTATTTCTTTAAGGCATGGGCTTCCAGGGGTCCCTTCAATTAGTCTACTGGAATCTTTTCCAAACAATCCGAGGGATCCACCTACAACAGGGATTGTTGATGTTCCCATGTGCCACATTTTTGACAATTCGATATCAGCTTTTTGAAGATCTTCAAAGATACATTGTAGTCTACAGGGACTGCCATATCAATAAGGAGGCATTTTTTTGTTTGCGATCTCTAATAACAATGTCTGGGCGGTTAGCATTGATTGTTCTGTCCGTGTGTATTGTGTAATCCCATAAAATTGTAAAAGGTCCTATCTTCCTAACCGGGTCTGGGTAGTGTTTATACCACTTCTTTTCAGTTTCCTTCCCGTAGAAGTTACAGATTTTCCAGTGCAGATATTGCCCAACTCTGCCTTGCCGGATTTTATATTCAGTAGGTGCCAATTATTATTATTATTATTATTATTATTATTATTATTATAAATATTATTATTATTATTATTATTATTATTATTTTCTTTGATTTCTGGCGTGTACACATTTCTTTCCGGGTCCCGCCCAGGGACCTAAGGTTAGAAATGGCGTCATGACACTTTCTACTGACAAAAAAAAAAATTAAATTACATAGATAAAGCCCTTCGTAAGGTGTGGGCTGTACTTGTCAGAACAATTTTTTGTATCTCCTTCAGCCATGGACTTCCAGGAATCCCTTCAATTAGTCTACTGCAATCTTTTCCAACCAGTCTTAAAGCTCCAACTACAACAGGGATTGTTGATGTTCCCATATGCCACATTTTCGAGATTTCTATTTCAAAGTCCTTGTATTTTGATAACTTTTTGAGACACCGTTTTTTGTTTGTGGTCTTTAATGAAAATATCTGGCCGGTTGGCCTTGATTGTTCTGTCAGTGTGTATTGTGTAGTCCCATAGAATTGTAACAGGTCCTATCTCCGTAACCGGGTCTGGGTGGTGTTCATACCAGTTTCTTTCAGTTTCCTTCCCGTAGAAGTTGCAGATTTTCCAGTGCAGATATTGGCCCACTCTGTCATGTCGGGTTTTATATTCAGTGGGTGCCAACACCGTGCAACCTGATACAAGATGATCAATCATTTCTGGATATTTATCACAGAATCTGCATTTTGGGCTGACACAATATTTTAGTATATGTTGATAATTCCTAGTTAGCAAGCATTGGTCCTGCGCAGCAAGGATAAAACCTTCAGTTTCCGCTTTCAACCCTGCACTACGTAGCCACTGATGGGTACGGGTTTTGTCTACGTCAGCTTGTTTGGTACGGGCAGAGTATTGGCCATGATGCGGTTTATCTTGCCATCGCTTCTGTATCTGGTCGGTTGCATTCGTCTTTGCTGTCTTTTTTAGGTATTCTGCAGTTTCAGCCGGTGTATTGTGCTGTAGTTACATCTCTACGCCCATTTGAAAGTCCTTATTATTATTATTAATATTAAATCTATTTTGTTGCCGGTCAGGATACGTGTTTTTTTAAATATAGCTGAAGAAGACAGACATAGTATTGAAACATTTTTAAACTGACTTTTTTCTATTCAGAAATAGCGGCCTTTTCTAAATGTTGCATTGTCGTCGTCCTCATCATCTTCATCATTCTCATTATTATTATTTATCATTATTATTATTATTATTATTTAAATCTATTTTAGTGTCGGGAATTATACGTGTTTTTGTTTTTTTAAACATAACATGAAGAAGACAGACATAAATTCCAAATATTTGCAAAACATTCTTAAACTCTGTATTTCTTTGTTTAAATGACGCCATTTTCTAACTGCTCTATTATTGTTTCTTTTAAACTGATTCGCACAAAAAGAACAAAATATTACAGACCTTTACTCTGTTGCTGCACCATTCATGGCTTCTCATCGAAACCTGTGTCCCATTTAACCGGAATCTACCATATTCTTATTTGTCTGGTGGCTTTCGATCAGAAGCAAACGATAGCATGTCCTCATCCCGCCCAATACTCTATCTGCTTTGAGATATTAAAATAACTTTATAATTAAAAAAAAAAATAGTTATCTGACTTCACCTGGCATTTCGGCTTCAAACACTTTCCTAGCGCTGTAACCTAGCTTTCCTCTGTCGTTTCGATAAATAGTTTCATTGTAATTTGGTCCGAAAGGCTTTCCTCTTTGTTATCCAGGCTTTAAGCGCGGTACTAAAGTGGCAGTAAGTTTACATCAGTTTACAGCTGAAATGGCCAGATGTAACCGTAAGTTCTATGCTAACAGTTTCTTCTCTCGCATTTCTCCCTTGTAAGTCTCTCTTCCAATTTCATGCTTTCCGGTTAATTTAAATGCAATGTCAATCGTTAACATCTATCTTCTTAATTCCTGTTCTTTTATTGTTATCTCTCTTTAATAGTGTTTTTCTTTTTCTCATATTCGCTCACACTCAGTAACCCCCTTGAGTCTTAGTGGTTTTATTGCCTTGCTTGAAGTGAAATGATTTTTTTAAAAGTACATAGTAAACGCGATAATAATTTTTATTTTCTCCATTTTTATTTTCTCCATTTTTTTAACGTTTTTTTTTTTAATATCGTTTCGTCTCGTGTGTCGTCTTCATATTCATTCTAATGTCACTAATTTCAAACCTTTCACCAAAACACGTTCCTGCAAACTGCTCTTTTCTCAAGAAAACATCGCCTATAGCGTTTTCTGGAGTATAACTTCTTACTTTCACGTTTGCCGCTCCTGTTTAAGTTTTGTATACTCAGCGTCTATTTGCAACGTACGGTTTTTCCATGTTGGAAATGGCGTCTACCTTTGTTTTGTTTTATTTTTCTCTCTAAATTCTTGTATACAAAACACATTTAGTCATCTCTTGTATTTTTCTCTTTTATCATTTTATTCATGTCGACATATTTCATTATTTCTTGTCTCTCTTCACTCTTTACTTCATTTGCCTTCCACGAAGCCACATTTCTTCCAGATCGCGTCGAAACACAGTTTCCCGTACGATCACCAAGTTAAGCACTGGTCATAAAATAGATGGGTAGCCGACTGGGAATATCAGTTGCTGTAAGCTAGGATATGCGTTCGGAATTGTTAATCAGAGAGCCCAGGTTCAATTCCAGTTGAGTGCGTTATATTGACTTACGCGCAAATGCCTTTGGGAAAAGTATGAATCTACGTCTGTCCCAGCTATGGATTAATTAGTAAGACTTGTATCACTAAACCATCATTATCTAATAAAAACATTCTTACAATCTAAAAGTATTTTCTGGCTTTAAATAACCCGCAAAGGATTGATAAGAGTAGAAAACGAATTAGCCAACAAACAATCTATCGTCTGCCATGACAAAATTACTTATCCTTGTATTTATTGGGACCTGCTGAATTGCGGCCTCGGTTTTTCCACGGATATCTTTCATTCTTTAAAACCTATTCTTTCACTCTTTATTTCATTATCTTTCTTCATTTCGTTCTCCTTGTTTTTTCTTTCTTTCTTTTTTAACCACCCTCTGCCTTTTCCCACTTCTTTTAACCACCGTCTGCCTTTTCCCGCTTCTTTTAGCCATTCTCACTTACCTCCCTTTCTTCTGTCTTCTTTCCATTTCTGATGCAATCAATCATAAAGTTAGCATATCTCGAGTTCGGCCCCTGTATCTCATGACGAAAACGTTCACCTTTACAAACTTTGCCTGGGGTAGGCTAATGTGGAAGGTCAACAGAATGACCAAGAAAATCAATTCCGGTAACCGTTAGCAGTTACCAACCAATCGCTCTTCAGTTTTGAATGATCTCCCTTTGAAGGCGAAAAACAGATTTTTTTTATTTTATCTTATTTATTTTTCACCGTTTCTACTGAATAGCGTCTGGTACAGTTGTCCGTAAATGTATCCCTCAGACCTCGTTTTAATGGTCAATGCAATAAGCATATATGACCAGCGAAAACTCCAGCTATTTATTAAGATTGAAAGACGATCCCTTGTTTCCTCTTTAGGATTGGGTATCTGGTTCCTTCTAAAGTCTACTGCAACTTTATACTTCTAACGTCTCCGCCTAAAACTATGAACTTCTATTATTTTTCACATTTTTTCCTCAATAGGAGTAGATAAGTTTGTCTATAGCCCTGTTCACACTCCTTCCCGGTCTTTTGAATAGGAGTAGAGATTTATCCTTTGTTACGACTGTGTTTCCGGTTGTTTTTCTAAAGTCTACTTCAACTATACACTTCTGACATTTCCGCCTAAAACTCTGAACTTTTATTTACATTCCTTTCCTCAGTCGTAGCCCCTGGCGTCTTGTTGGCATTATCACCAAGCTTAAGGTGGATAGTTCTTACTCTGTAACCTTCTACCTCCAGTGGCTCTTGAGCCTTGTACAGGGGAACGTGATTATAAAAGAAAATCTCTGAATTGTTGAAATATGAAGTTAAAATAGCATTTTACACAAATATATACATATATACATACAATAATAGACTAAATATTTTCTGTGAAAAAATAATGCAGGCCTACAATTATTATTATTATTATTATTATTATTATTATCAGCGAAATGTTCATCTATTTAACAGATTTTCTGTTAAAAGGTTAAAAGATGTTCCTTTTTGCATAGTTGAATTATAGTGTTATGGAGGTATTTCATTCGGAACAGCTATCGATTTTAATTGCATCATTTTAATGAGATTATTACTCCCCAAGTTCATTTACAAGAACTTTTACAACCCTAAGAAATGTTCGAACTGCTTGGAAAAATTGATTTCTTTGGGAAAGATATTAAAATAATCCAGAAGAGGGAGAAAACCACCTATACATTTGCAAAAATAATAAATTCAGTAAATACAGGAAAAAGTCATTGACCAACCTGTGTTTCCATCCAGTATTAATCTGTTAGAGCATGATCAGAGGTGCGATCAGCTACCAAACTCTGTTCATCGAGGGTTTAGGGAGGTTCACCCATATACAGCTGTATCATCAGCATAGATATTCACAAATGATTGGAGTGTACTCTTAAGCAGATCATTTATGGTAAATTGATTGAGGTTTGGAACTAGAAGCGAACCTTTGGAATCACCTGCGTTGATCGCTTGGGCCTGAGAAGACTATCCGTTAATAACTACCTTCAGGGTTGCAACTAATCCTTCTCTGTGTTGACTGGAATTTGTATCAAATTATTTTACCTGCTTCGTCTTGTCTACTTTTTTTCGCTTTTTCTTTATATTCATTTTCATCCAGTTCTTCTTTTCTTTTTCGTTATGGGATCTTACCCATAATAATAATAATGGACTATTCCATACTTAATAAATACTGCGCCTCAGGAGTCAGTAGTTCAAGTGGAGTCACTCGCTCAAGTCTCAACCGGCTGATCGGTTGAACTCTCTGCCTTCGGGCTGGGAGGAACCCGAAAGAGGCTATGCTGAAGGGCGGATTCTCTTTCAGGGAGGTTAACCGACCCTGAACCCGTATATACGGGTTCAATGGGCATATTTTTGCTCGAGCCCACGGGCTCGTAGATCCCACGTTAAACCGGCCTTGTGCCACATGATGTCCACATGGGGGGGTGACTAAATATAGTCAGTAGTTCAAGTCAAGTCAGTAGTTCAAGTCAAGTCAGTAGTTCAAGTCGAGTCAAGAGTCGAGTCAGAGGTAGTCCGAAAACAGAGTCGCGTTCAGACAATTACTGCAAGACATTGGAATAGTGATACTGGTCGAGACTACCTTGTTCTCCCTACTAAACCTGATTGTTCGTACTAACACTTCTACTTCTCTGTATATATTTCTGTTTGCAATATATCTGTGTTATTCCATACCTGTGTTCTTTATTGGTTCTAACTTGGACTATCACCGTGGTACAAGGAACCGGGCCATAACATTTTCCCTTTTACAGTTGAAACTTCTCTATTGCTTCTTTCTTTTTTCGTTTTTCTATCATCATATATATATATATATATATATATATATATATATATATATATATATATATATAATAGTTTTACCCCAAGTATAGGCAATATAGGCACTAAGACACAGAGAGTTATTAAGTGTGTAAGAATATGAGAAAAGTTTTAAAAAATATTACGGAGAGAGAAAAATAAAACAACGGGAATTTATAAGAAAGTGTCCTTTTATAGTCCCAGTAAACAGAAATATCTCTCTCAAAGAGGAGAGTAACAAAACAAGAGGAGACCACTCTTGATTATTCCTAACAACAGCATTTAAATCTTTTGAAGATCGAAGTTGACTGAAAAACGAGAAGCCTGAAGAATATGTACGTATATCAGTGAAAGAAAATCAGTTTTTTTCAAACGCCATCATTTAACTTATTTGATCCAATATATGTAGGATGGGGGGTTACACTGATTTTAAATTTAATTATTTCATGCCAGGCAAGGCAATAAAAGAACTAAGACGTGAGAGGTTACTGAGTTTGAGAGGATATGAAAAAATATTAAAGAGCGAGAACAATAAAAGAAGAGGAATTAAGAAAAGAGAAGATAACGATTGACATTGCATTTCAAGTTTTGAAGGTTAAAATTGGATGGAAAGTAAGAAGCCGAAAGAGATTTCCATGAACGAAAAGTGCAAGAGAAGCCATTTTTACTTATGGTTAAGCCAAGTCAACTGCAAATTGATGAGACCTTGCCGCCAATATAGTACGTCGCTTAAATTCATGAAGTCTAGGCCCCAAGTTCATCAGAACACTTACCATGAAAGTATTTATAGAAAAGTCACGGGGAAACTCCGTCACGGCGGTGAGAATGAGACTGAAGCCGAGATGCCAGGTAAAGACCAATAACATTACGGATTCTTCGGATTTTATCAAGAATTTCTAAATATCTACCAGGAACAATACACCCTGTCTGAAGTCATTAAGCAAATCATATAATCTTCAATAATACAAATTTGGATTTTAAAAAACTGTCAAATTTTAAACAATCAATTTAGATGTCAAAAAAAGGCTTAAGTTAAAATTTTAGGTGGTATCCGTATGTTTCATTGAAGTTATTTTCCTATTGGGTTGGTGCATAATTATCAGTCGTTTTTGTAGGCGAGGTATTTGTTAATAAAATTGCTGTTTTATTTATTTTTTTAATAAAATACTATTTTATTTTCAGGTTATAAAAATGCTCCGGAATAATCATTTAAAAATGTTTTTTTTTTTTTTTTTTTTTTTCTTAATAAATATTGTTTTAAAATGGTTGATAATTATGCACCAATAGAATAAAAATGAAAAGGTAATAAAATCATCAAAAATTGATCAACACCTATAATAAAACAAATAACAAACACAAGATAAGTCTTTGAATGATTTATATTTCATACAGTGACCTTTTATCTCAATAACAGCCAATAATTTATTATCTATTGGTTTTCTTACATTTTTTTACTTCAAACATGGAAGTTTTAATTGCTTCCCAAAGGTCTGCCTCGGTGTTACATTGTTTGTCACTTTCATATAATTTCATCTTCACAATTAGCCATAGATTTTTGATGGATTCAGATCATGGTGGTGATTCAATTATCTTCTCTCCTGTAAATCTTTTATGCTCAAAGAATTCACGGGTAAGCTTAGATACACAAGAAGCATCACTGTGATGCATAAATACGAACTTCACTTTGAAACTGCCGGTCCAATAGTGGTTGGGTAGATTATTCCAGGCCATATTATAAAACTACCACCCCTTTGTTGCTTCTTTTAATCACAGATACGTCTGAACTGGATAAAATCCATCTTTTGGTCCATCCATAAGATCTATCAGATGTCACTCGAAATTAATCCGTGAAAATAACGACAGAAAAGTCAATTTTCATGTATTTCTTGGCCCAATTTTTATGCTTTAAAATATTTATTTTATTGAGAGAAGGTTACCTAGGATATTATTTTACAGAACCCAATTCACAATTCCAGCCTTTTCAAAGATTTGAGCGCTTGACAAAAGTGGTTGTTTCGCTATAAATTGCTTTACTTTACGTTCATCTCGAAGAAGCGAGTTCTTAAAACCTTTTCCTTTGCTTCGAGTTCTCAACTTACGTTTTCAACAGCCTTCCTTATCGTTTGATGATCTCTACAGATCTCCTTTGATATCTCCAATGTGAACATTCCGATTCTCAATAACTTCTGTTATTTTCTCTTTTCAGCAATTGCTAGATACTTCCCTTTACCTATGTTTCAACATATATTATAAACAAAAAGAAAAATAATCTTTACTAGAAATCAGAAGTCTTAAGCTACTATAATTTAATCTGTATACTAACTTCTGTCTATTATCTTAAAATTAAAATATTTCAAGAACTAACCATTAAAATGACAGAAGATTTATTTAAGTATTTTACTAAGTGTGGAAATGGGGGAGTTTTGTTGTATCCTTAAAGAAGGTTACAGACAAAGGTGATACTTGAATGAAGGCAAAGCAACATGCACATAGATGAAAGAAGAGAGGTTTATTGTAAAAGAGAATACACTACTGAAAGACAGAAAATCGGGTGGCAGGCTAGAAATTTCCGAAAGCCAACCCCAGGTATATCATGTGCTCACAATATATAGCCACTGATGTAGCCAGTCTACATAGGCGATACGGAGTGTGGGACATCCCATTAAAACAAGTTTAAATTTGACAAATATTGAATCTTTTGAGTTATTGAGGT